GATACTGGGACCCAGTTCCTTGATTCCAGATGAGAGCTCTTTCATACTGTCCTCCTGAGAACACAAGATATAACAGCTGGGGTACAGTGGGCTCCCCAGATGATACTACCAAGGCTTCCCTCCTGTCTGGAACCCTTGTCCTGTAACTCCTCCCTGTTGTCATTGCAAAAGGTATTTGGTTGTTTTGGCCTACTTCTTTCTTCCCCCTTCTTCTCTAACCTGCCTTCCATGTAGTCATGGTGGGGCTTAAAATCACTGTGCCACCCTGGATGGCCAGCCAATTCTGGTTCCCTATCTCCCTGAGGACAGACAGTAATCCTCTAACACTAAGTAGAGAAGGAGGCTTTGGGCTGCCAGGTGCCATCTTCCCCACCAGGAATAGTACCTGAAAAGAAACCAACACATAATGCTCAACAAGTGTTACCCATTATACTGAGCACATTCCAATTGTAGATGTCAGGTCTGCAGGTGGATAAGGAAGGGGAGGGGAAGAAAAAAAGCCCCAAACTCAGATTTTTGTTATAGTAGCAGCTACCCTTACTCAAAAGAGCAATCTGTTTCGCAGAGAATAGACGGATGCGTTTGAATCCAGATTCTATGACTTGTCAGCTGTCCTCAGCAACTGGAACTTAGCTCCCCAGGTTGTCGTGAGGATTGAGAGAGATCTAATACCAGAATGCCTAGCTGAAGTGAAAGATCACCTCCCTTCAATCAGTTGGTCTAAGCTGTACCTACCAGGAGAGAACTCTTCCTATGAGACTGAGGCCTATTAGGACTTAGCAGTTCTTCCAAAACTCCTTGAGGAAAAAGGTCAATGGTCCTCTGCTATTTGGAGATCCAGAGGAAAAGGAAATTATTTTTAGGGCACTTACAGGAAATAGTGGCTTTCCTTATTGCTGAAATCTGTTTTTACGTTCCATTCTACCCTCCCACCTCAGTCATCCTGGACTAGGTGGTTCCTTTATTGGACAAAATATAAGATGAAATAAATTTTCTTATTAACCAGATCATACGTACTGGTCATCCTTAGGACCACTGACTTAGCCTCCCTTAAAACTGTATGTTTTGTTCACTAACTTCTTACTGTCCCAAAAAAAAAGGTCTGTAATTTTCCTCTTCCAATCAAATTTGAACCCATTCTGTTCCTACTATAAGAACAGATTTTCATTGCCTACCTGGAAACACATTTGTTTGGACACGAAATTTCTACTGAATTCACTGAAGTAAAGAAAGCAAGTTAATAACAACACTAGGATGCCATTCTCCAGAGTCAGGGAATATAATAGCCCTTCAGAGTATGAGAGATAATGGCAGAGATATGTGTCTGAAACACATTTCATTAGGTTAACTTTGCATTTAAGGACTGAAAATCCAGCTGGGCATGGTGGTATATACCTATAATCCCAGCACTTGGGAAGCTGAGGCAGGAGGATAAGGAATTCAAGGTCAGCCTGGGCTACATAGCAAAACCCTGTCTCAAAAAACCCAAAACCAAACAAACATAAGAGAACTACAAACCCAGCAAGTTTTGTTTTGTTGTTTTTTGCAGTTCTGGGGTTTGAACTCAGGGCCTACACCATGAGCCACTCTACCACCCCTTTTTTGTGATGGGTTTTTTTGAGATAGGGTCTCATGAACTATTTGCTGTGGCTGGCTTCAAACCTCGATCCTCCTGATCTCCACCTCCTGAGTAGCTAGCATTACAGGCGTGAGCCATCGGCACCTGGCAGTTTTTGTATCTTTTTGAAATAGAAAGGCTTCCTCTTATACAAAATTCCTGAAGCCAGCTCCTTCCCATTTGTACAAAGAAGGCCTGCTGATACCTTCAAGGTGTTTTTGGAGTCACAGAATTACGAAGCTATACAGCATCAGCCATTAAGGCACAGATTACAATAGCTTCTATTCAAATGGATTGTCAGCCTAATATCAAATTCAGCTCCATTAAAATAAATCTCACAGGAGTCAGCCTAGACAGATAGTTCCTAAGACCCTACTTCAAAAAATACCCAACACAAAAAGGGCTGATGGAGTGGCTCAAGTGGTAGAGTACCTACTAGCAAGAGTGAGACCCTGAAGTCAAACTCCAGTCCGCCCCCCACCACGCCCCCAATCTTAGATATTATTAAGTAATCATGTTTGCAGTCTTTTTAGGTGTTCCAGATTACATTAGGTATTACATTCATGTTGTTTGTTAAAGAAATACTTTAGCAGACCTCTGGGGACATTAATCCAGAAACAAAACCCTGCATCATGGTTAATCAAAGTCTATTTCCTTGTATTATTTTAGTTTTTACAAGATTCACTTCAACTATCCCACAACACATACAACCCTTAACTCCTGAGAACAAAGGCAAACAGTTAGCAAGTGAAGTATGTCTAGTTTGGCCACGATTACACAGGCATCTATGTACACATGCCACCTAGCTTAAGAGGCTCTCCAGAGCACTGAGCAGATGCTAGATGAACTAGTGATGGGGGTCGGGGAGCTAATTTGATTGCTTTTTCTCTGTATTGTACATTTATTGAAAGATTTGGGGCACTAATCTGTACAAATAAATAGCTAAGACTGCACAGAGTCCCGTTCATCCATATTGACTGAATAATCTGAAGATGCAGCATCTTCAGCATGTGGTGTTAAGGAAGAGCTGTATTTGGAGAGGATGCCACTACAGTAGTGGTGACATGCATGTGTGTGTATATATAAATAGGCATATCTACTAAAACCAAATGAAGCCTCTGCCATGACAGAGGTTGCCAGGGAGCTCACTCATTTTCCTGTCCCTCACATACACAGGAATTTTCTGAATACAAAGGGATATATGTGGACTCTCACAGTTAGATATAGAGCAGCTGTTACCAACTTTCTCCCACCCCCAGCTATTTAAATGAACAATTACCTCCACAGCTATATATCCCATTACACTTGATTGTCAAGCAGGACCTAAGGGCACACTCATCCCACCCAACCCACAAGTGTGGTTTACAGATGACGTGTAATCACTCCCAAGAATTCTGATAAATCTTCTGGCCAACACCCAACCCCACCCACCAGCTTTCCTTACACCCTTTTTCCCTTTATAGTTGAAGTTAAAAAATATAGGGCTGGGCACAGTGGCTCACACTTACAATCTGAGCTACTTGGGAGACAGATTGAGAGGACCACAGTTTGAGGCCAGCCTGTGCAAAAAGTACCCCATATCTCAATACCAAAACCAGGTGTGGTGATGCATGCTGTTATCCCAACTATGAAGGAGGCAGAAGTAGGATTGTGGTCAAAGGTGTGGCTCAAGTGGTAGAGCCAAGGCCCTGAGTTCAAACCCCAGAACCACCAAAATAGGGAGTAAAAAATACAGCTATAACTTTCCAAAACTAAATAGCAATCACTTGCATGATCATTAATATTTCTTTCTTTCTCTCTCTTTCTGCTTTTTTTCTTTGAGACAGTGTCTGGCTATATTGCCTACGCTGACCTTGAGCTCAAACTCTTGATCTTCCTGCCTCAGTTTCCCAAATGCTGAGGCTACAGGTATGTACCACCTCACCCATACTTATGTAAAGACAGTTTGAAGTAGAACATCCTGAGTTGTGAAAGAGGAATATATTATAATGTCATCCTGGGCTAAAAACATTAAAAATGGAATAATTTACAAAATAGAGTTGAAATTACACTATTGTTTTCTTCAAAAAGAAATCTTAGAAGTTGTCTTGTTTTTCTTGAGAAAAACAAAATATTCTTTCCATAATCTATTCATGCTTCAGAGACAAAACAATTTTGGATTCTGCTCATCTTACTTTCATTCAGCTATATAAAACTCCTACAAGGTTAGAAGCCATGTTGAGGAATGACTCCACAGTGGGAAAAATTATTAATGCTCTGTGCATGTGTATGCTTGAGATCTTTGAGGTGGCCAAAGCTTCACTGCTACCTAATCTTGTTTCTCATCTTTTGGGGAGTTTTGTTTTCTTCTTCTTTTAATTTATAAAATGATGCTAATTATGGTAAACATGTAGTCATAAAACAAATCCTAATTATAAAGGCAATGAGTGAAAAAAATTACTAGAAGCCAGCCTGGCTGTTTAGATGGATTCTAGACTTGACACTGCAGTTTCAGGGTCAGGTCCAGAAGGTCAAGTTGTCATTTCAATGAGTACAACTGATGTGTACTACCAAACTCAAAGAAGACAGATGAGCAGGAGCCAATGAGCAGTTTGTAGGTCTAGACACTCCACTTGAAGACTCCAATATACATGTATACTATCAAGGTACTTTTTTTGTTGTTGTTACAAAACCATTCTGAGCTATAAAAATTGGAGATGGTTGTTTTTCAAACAGGAGGGGTATTATTTGTTGAGTAGAGGATTCCAGTAAAGGGAATTGCTATAAATACTAACAATTAATAGCATTTATTTCTCCTCCAGATTCTATGGGGACCATTATCTTTTATTTACCACACTGTTCTTAAGACAGATTATAATAAAATCACTTCACAGAAAAACTGGCTGGAAAATGTGTGGCTTTGATTCATTCAGGAGCCTGACTGAAATAGTTTTCTTTCTGAATGTAAACTTCAAAACTATAGGTAATTTTATAGAAAAAAGGTGAGCAAATCCCTAACTATAAAATGGAGACAATTCAATCTTGAACCCAAACATCAAAACATCATATTATTAAAAACATCAATAGAGAAAATCTCTATGCATCTCATAAAAATGAAAATGCTTACTTAGTCTTTTCCTATAGATATTTAAAGCTAGAGAGCACACTTTTCATTAATATTTGCTAAAACCTATGGCCCCAGCTTGCGATGTAGTTATCTGTTCAGGACCAGGGTAAAGACTAACATACAAGGAATATGGATTAAGCTAAACTGTGAGCAGTCATTTTTCTTATCCCCTGCAGTGTTGGGTATCGAACCTGTGGCAAGTACTCTGCCACAGAGCTATAACCCCAGCCCAGCAACCATTTTTTCTTTTTTTAAAAGGACCGTATACACGTAAGATAGGATTACACACTTTAATTCTGATTGACATGGAGGAAGTAGGGAGGGCACGAAAGAAATTTAGTTTTAGCTCTGCTTTATGCATAACCAGATGCAATTTTTTCTAAAAAGTAGATAGTATTGAGGTTTTAAAAACCTTATTCTCTCAGAATATATCAGGAAACCATACCATGTGTAATCCAACAAATACAGTATTTGCAGAATAGGAAAATCATGGGCAACAAGACTAAAACAAAAGAAAGCACCAGGGTTTTGAGCAGTTCCAAGGTGAGTATATCTGCAGAAATAATGTGACTGGCTGCTATGAAAACATGCTAATGAGGATTGGTCCATGTCTTACAATTTTTTTAAAACATGTTTCTTTGGAAAAATGCAATATGGGCTGAGAACGAAGCTGTCCTTTTAGACACCCAGCTTATTGGCCTGAGTGAGAACAACTTTGAGAACTGGCATGAAAGCAGAGGTCTCACTGAAGTTGCTGGTGCTAACAATGTGGGTATGGATCGTCAATCCTTCTGAGTAGTTTCGTGTTTCAATACTCCTTGCAATGTTGTGTAAACCGTTGATGATTGTTGGTGAAAGCTGAAAGAAAGGTGAAACCAAGAGAAAGAATTAAAAGAGTATATCCCATATGATACCATCCATAAACATTAAACCCAGGTATTTAAGTGGAATTTGAAATAAACATATTTTATAGTCTGAACCATTTAGCATTTCTAGGACCAAGCAACAGTTATGTTATAAAGTAGAATCATTGACAAAATGATTTATGTAAAGAAGCTATTTTATGAATTATGTATGTATAACAAACTAGGTAGTTTCTTACTGAAAAGATGAAATGCTAACATCTCTCTTGAGTTAGGAGCTTTAATTCTTCTTCAATTACTTTAGACAGAGCCTTATACCTTTTAAGAATTTTCCTATGAGGGCTAGCAGAATGGCTCAAGTGGTAAAGTACCTGCCTGGCAAGCATGAAGCCCAGAGTACAAACCCCAAAACCACAAAAATAAATAAATAATTAAGAATTTTCTATGTACATGAAATAAATAAATAATTAAGAATTTTCTATGTACATGAATTTTCTATGTCTTAAATCATGACATCTCAAAGTCAGGACCTTATTTATTTAAAACCTTATCTACAATAGAGATTCTGAACTATCTGTTCACTTCCATGAGCATAGGGCAACAGACTGGACCATGCTTTCAATTTACCAATTATTTATTATTATTTTTTTTTTTGGCGAGACTGGGGTTTGAACTCAGGGCTTTGAGCTTACAAAGCCAGTGCTCTACTGCTTGAGCCACACTTGTTCCATTTTGTTCTGATTATTTTGGAGACGGGGCCTCAAGAACTCAATTCTCCTGATCTCAGCCTCCAAATAGCTAGGATTACAGGGGTAAGCCAATGACAACTGGCTTCAATCTATCAATTCTTAACTTTTTTTTTTTCTTTCTTTCTTTCTTTTTATTTTTTGTAGTACTGGGAATTGAACCTAGGGTCTTGCACATGGTAGGCAAGGATTTTACCACTTAAGCTGCAAGGCCAGCCCTCTTAACTGCTTTTTACTTCTTTTTATTCAGCAGTACTGGGGTTTGAACTCAGTGCCTTGTGCTTATTAGCGAGGCACACCTTAACTGCTTTTTATAATCCTGTCACCTCTTCCAGATTTTCTTTTCAATTTTTTGAGACTGGGTCTATGTTACCCAGGCTGGTCTCAAATGATTCTACTGTCTCAGCCTCTTGAGTAGCTAGGATTATAGGTGCATGCCAATGTACCCAGCTCTGTCATCTCTTAAAACCATAAAACTTATAGGTCCTTCTCATGTCATCACTTGGCATACATGTTCTTAATTTACACAGAAGACGTGATTTGGATCAGTCATGGACCACACCCCTTCAACTTGGTTTGGTCCTCATAAGAGAATGGTTATTTTCATCTAATGGGACTGGGTGTAGGGAATGTAGCAGAAGAATGCTGAAATAAAAAAATATAAAAATCTCCCATTCTAGTACTTTCATTAATAAAACAAAAACAGTGCTAGAAAGGAACGGATAGGTGTGGCCAAGAGAACAGGACAGGGAGTGTACTGACTCCTTGGTATGGGCTATTTTCACAGTTACAGAACATTACCCTGCTCATCTGGAGGCTACATTTGGCTTTGGCTTTGTGTCATAGTTGTTCCAGAAGAAAAGGATCTAGAGTCTTAGATCTACAAACAGAGTACCTGCATAGTCTCTGAATTCTTCATACACAGGCTTTATAAAATGAACAGCAGAAGGTCAGTTATCTTAGAGCCAATAAAGATGAGCCTGTTTTACTAATCTCTGTTATAAGAATTAAACTTTTTTTTTTTAAATCACTTCCCTAGCCCCCTCCAGATAAAGACAATTAGAGGAAGGCCTATTCCATAACTGATATGATAATTTTGCTCTCAAGTACCCTTAATAAGAGTATTGATGAGACACTTTTTTTACTAGCAACTAGGGAAAACTGACTACCATGAATCCAGCCCCCTAAAACTTACTGTCTGTTCCCTAAGTTTATCGTACAGAAATTCCAAACGTTTGCTGGCATCATCTAGCTTCCTTTTAGTTTGCTGCAGGAAAGAAAAAAAGAGAGGTTATATTTGAGCATTAACTTTTATCCAAAGAACTTGCCCTATTTCATTTTACTAAACCTTACATTCAAGATATTGAAAAGTTTCATCTTATTAAAGAAATAGAGGCAACTACAATGAAGAAAATTTGGACAAATTATTAGAATGGACAGCAGTGATCTACTAATGGTGAGGATGTGCAGAGGATGAGGCTTCCTTCCAGTGTGCAAAATGGGGAACTGATTGCATTCCTGTAGATTACAAACCCATTTGACAGGTGTGTGTACACACAACCGTGCCATAGTCACAGACTTCTGGAGGCAGCAGAGGTCCAAGTGCCACAGAAAAGAAAATCTAAGTACAGGTACTACAGCTTATGGATGGTAAAAGGCAAACACATAGATTCCATATAATCTTGTTTTATGGAATCTTGTTTTAACCTTTCAAAATACTACTTATACACTTAGAAACATTTGGCGTATTTAATCCTGCCTCTTTCCATGTCTTTCAAGCACCCATAAAGAAAAAGGAAATTATCTTCTGGCAACTTAAGGTCACTAAGAGTGAGCTGGTTGTCTAGCCCAGCAGTAGAGTGCTTGCCTAGCCTGTGCAAGGCCCTGGGATTACTGAGAGGAAACCAGTAAAATAGGTTCTTATATAAAGTTTTCTTTTTTCTTTCTTCTCTATCCTTTAGTACTGTAAGTATGGCAAGAAAAACTATTCTAAAACTACTGTAAAATTAAAATTAAAGATTTAAAAGTACAGTGTGATTAAATTAATGTCTATATTACAAAACAGCCTTACCAATGACCCCATTTTATGAAGTGTCTACTATGTGCTGGGCCAGGGACACAGTCTTGTGTGTCATGGAACATATATTCTAGTGCATGAGAAAAAATGGCAAGTAAACAGTATATTGTGTGCTAGACGGTGGTAAGCACTATGAAAAAAAGTTAATAGGATAAAGGGACTAGAAGTGTGGAGGGGAGTAAAGAAAGGCCTAATGACTAATGGAACATGCAAGCAAGGCCTCGTAAATGAGTGAGGGAGCGAGCAATGTAGATACATGGTGGATGAGATCTAGGCAAAAGGAGCAGCAGCAAATACAAAGCCCCTGCTGCTGAAGTGCTCTTGGAGTGTTTGAGGAAGCAATGCCCAGCACACGTGTCTAGATTGGACAAGAAGACATGAGGCCATTAAGAATCACATTACATACATACTAAGTTGTACTCCAAAATTACTGTGTATTGTTTGGACATAACAAAAGTGAAAATAAGAATAAATCCATGCTATAAAAAAATGATTCTAAGTACTAACTGAAATGGACCTTTGAGGAAGGGTCTATGCTCAAAGCTAATCCCATCTAGCTACAAACAGAAGCCCTACCCCATGAGGCAGGTTACAGCGAGGCAAGTATTAGAACTAATCGAAGGAGCACTCTGCCTTTTGTGGTTCTTTTCTGCGCAGAGCTCCTAGACACCCAGAAAGAAAATGGTTTGATAACTCAGATGCAGTTAAACTCAACAAAATTTGATTGAGCTGGGCCATGTACTATGTGTCCTCTCTACACTGAATCACACCTGAAGAAGGATTGGAGGGCTGGCAGAGTAGCTCAAGGGGTAGAGCACCTGCCTAGCAAGCATGAGGCCCTGAGTTCAAACTCTAGGGCCACCAAAAAACAAAAAAATGTATAGACGTTTAAAGAAGGATTAGAGTTCTGCCACATTCTTATTAAGATCCATCCATTTCTGAATGACTATGACCTGTCTACTTATGGGTATGCACAGGGGACCGAGTTTATCTGGCTATCAGCCTCATTTGAGCTTTCGGTTCCAGCTTGAACTTTCCATCACTCCTCAAGTGCCAGATGCCAAGGCTTCTGTTAGCCCTTTGGTTTCCTGACACTTTCAGTATAGAGAATTGTTGTCTACAAGTCTAGCAGAAGGTTGCACAAATATTCAATGTCTGATGGAACAACAAATTCCAGAAGCTGCTTTCTTCAAGAAGACAAGTAGTTAATGGCTTAAATAAATATCTTCAATGTTTGTTGGCAGAACACAGAATTTTACTTAAAACAAAACTAGCTTTGTGGAATTTTTGTTGTTGCCAGTACACGAGCATTTTCCAAGTAAACTAAGAAAAAAAAACCTTTTTAAAAGAAAAATTCCCTATCCTAGAACTATAATTGTAGTGAGAGAAACTATTCTAAATCTAAATTAAAGGTTTTTAAAAGTACAGTGTGATTAACTTAATCATCTACATTACACAACAGCCTTAGAGGGGATAACATTTTATTAAATGTGCTGTGCTGGGGACAAAGTCTTACATGTCATGGAGCACATATTCTGACTGGTAAGATAAGATACTAAACAAACAGTATATTGACTCTAGTATTTATATTTAATTATCTTAAAGATCCTTGAAAAATCAAAGTAGATGACCCATCTACCTTTAAAAAACTTCAAGATAAGCTCAGAAAGAACCCTGTACATTGGAGCTTCTTGCATACCACTATTATAGTCTAAAAAGGTCTACGGATGAGAGGCAATACAGATTGGCAGCTGCAGTCAGAATATCTAGGTTGAAATGCTGGCTCTGACCTTTGGCGTTATTTAGCTGTTTGCTAAATAGTATTTGCCTGAATTTTTTTTTCTGTAAATTTTTTTTTACAGATAGGAATTATCTGTAAAATAAAAAGGACAAACCTACTTACCATGTGGTTATTCTATTAAATGTTTTTATAAAAAGCAAATATATTTCTCTATGTAATACAAGCTATGTAACTACTAGCTTTATTACTCTAAAAAATATATCTCATGGGACTTAAAGCAATAATTATACAAGAGCTCCACGAAGGATTATTTTAATTAAGTATAGTATGAGAAAAAAGTACATACAGGATCTGTGGCTGAAGAGAGGCAGCGCTGAATAAGATCCTCAAATGTGGTTTTTAGAATGAGGTGCTCATCTGGAATAGGCTTCTTGGTAATTTTTTCTGTTGGCAATGACTGCACATGCTGGGAAGAATTAATATCATAAAAATGACCAGAAATGATCACTAGGCATTTTATATACAAAATACTGAAACTATGCAATAAAAAGAAACCAATAACCTTATAGACAGGCCTATTCAAAATGAAATAAAAGTTTAACATATGAAATTTCCCAGGCTAGGTAAAGTAGAAAGTAGAAAGTGCCAGCACTCATCCTACAGCAGGACTAGACATAAAGTGATTGATAGGTATGTTGGTCGTTACTGTACATAAGTGCTGGGAAGTAAGCCTGTGCAAGGAAATAAAAAACAAGGTATTAGAACACACAGCTGGCTGCTCAGCATGCTGTGTGCTCTACTTGTTGGCTCATTTTTGTTTATTTGGCATTCTTCTGTTCTGTTTTATTCTTTGAGGGTGTTAAGTGGACTATTAATCAAAACTGCAAGATCTAACCAAAGGTTAAGACAAAATACCAAGATATTGTTGAGTAAATAGATAAAAGAACATAGAAGAAACTTACATTCTCTAAATTTTGACTATTAGTTCATTCTTTCACTCAATTATCAGTCAATAACGAACCAGGCACTGGCTGTATACTGTCAAGCCAATACAGAAATTACCTTGGTCCTCAGGGAGTTTACAGGCCAAGAGAAGAGATAGAAAGCTTAAAAATGTTATAAACATATAAAATAGCAACTACAGTAAAGTTAATGCTCAGTGGAACCAGAAGACACGACAACTGGCATTTGACTAAAGGTAAGGAAAGGCTCTCTTCAGGAAATTACACTGGAAAAATAAATAGGAGCTAATCAGTTAAGCAGGGAAGGAAACGCATCCCAGCAGAAGAAATAACTCGCACAAAGGAAGGATCAAGGCACAAGGGGATGTATGGTTATCCTTATCTCAACCAGCAAAAACCCTTGTTCCTTCCTATTATTGCTTATACTCTCTCTACAACAAAATTAGAAGTAAGGGCAAAATAGTTTCTGCTGGGTATTGGGGGGGGGGGAGAGGGAAGGGGCGGAGTGGGTGGTAAGGGAGGGGGTGGGGGCAGGGGGGAGAAATGAACCAAGCTTTGTATGCACATATGAATAAAAGAAAAATGAAAAAAAAAAAAAGAAAAAAGGAATATTTAAAATTCTGCCACTTGTTCTGTTTAGATATTGGGACACTAGGTAACAAAAAATAAATAAAAGAGATTGACATACAAAATTCAAAAAAAAAAAAAAAGGCACAAGGGGACTAGAAGGAGGCCAGTGTGGCTGGAACACAGAGGGAAAGAGCAATTATGAGCTGAGGCCTTTAGGATGATGTGAAATACTTTGGTCTTCACATGCTGATAACAATGGGAAGCTGCAACGTTTTAAACAAAGCGACAAGACCGAACTAGAGACGGATCAAAATAGACATTGGCAGACCACTTAGGAGACTCCTACCTTAGTGAACATGAGAGATAAATAGCTTAGTACAGAGTAGAAACATAAAGAAGAGTTTCAAAAATTACCTTAGAGCACTATTAGCAAGATTTGGGGGATAGATTGAAATAGATGAAAGAGAAGAAAGTATACAAAGTACACAGATGATTCCCAGTTTTTTTTTCTGGATTCAACAGAAAATATTATGGTGCCATTCACTGACAGGAAACAATGAGAGGAGACCAGGTATGAATTAGGTTTTAGACCTGTGGAGGTTGAAGAGTCTCTGAGACATCCAAGGAGGCAGATGACTGAATATTAGCCTGGCTGAGTACTATACACCTCTTCCTTTTGAAGGTATTTGAGGTTCTGGTCTACATGAAGACACCATGAAAACTCAGGTTTTAAACCAAGGAGATGGCTTCTTAAAAATAATATAGGCTTGTAAATCCTCAAAAACAAAAGCAGGGATGGTGGAGTAGCTCAATTGGTAGAGTGCTTGCCTAGCAAGTGTGAGGCCCTGAGTTCAAATCCCAGTACCAAAAAAAAGCAAAAGTATTCTTTATAGCTTGTATTTTCATGGAAAGATGCAAGTCTTCAGACCTTCATCAAAATACTTGCTTTTATAATGCAAAAATTATATTAAAAAATTCCTCAGGTACAACTACCTCTTAACAGAAAAGCATACTGTTTTGATAGAGATATACATGATCTTTACAAATTTGACTTCAATAAGTCAAAGACAAGAACAGACCAAATTTTTTACCTGACCAGGAGTTTGTTTCATTGCCTTATGTTGAGTATCAATCCAGACGCTTTACATTTTTATGAACAGAACAAAATATTTTTGTCCTAAGTCACATTTGGAAATGCATTCAATTTTTCAACACCTAGGACTTTGTTAACTAGCTGTTTGTGTCAAAATTAAGTAAAAACATGCATCTTCACCCAAAGACAAAGCTATTAGGGTTTTTTTGGTTTTTTTTTTGGCAGTACTGAGGTTTGAACTCAGGGCCTTGTACTTGCTAGGCAGGTGGCTCTATCACTTGAGCCACACCCTCTAGTCCAAAAACCTTTGAGCTTTTTGCTTAGCAACCTCAGCTGAAGAGATAAGTCAACCATCTTTAAATTGTGGCTACTAACTAGATCAAGTAAAACACTGCAACTGCCAAGATATAGCAAGCATACAATCTGAAATATGCATGTGGCCATTTAATTGCAAAATAATATATACACGTAATCAGTCTTTTAAAAACAAGGCTAGTGTTTTTGTTTAGGCTGTCTATATTGAAACTAAGTTTAAATATTCATTAATAATGATATAATCATAACAGTCACCACATTAAAGAAAATGTACTGAGAAACAACCACCTTCCCATTCCACTTCCACAGATTTAGCATTACCTGAATGGTATTTCCAATAGGAGCCCCTGGAGCACCTTCAATATTGGGCTTTGAGAAAGATGGCGGTATGCCTGTTTGACCAAGAGGCTGCTGTATACCAGGGAAGGGCTGGCCACCTGCAAGATGTGGCTGTGTGAAGGAAGGTTGGTTTGACAGTGGTCCTGGAGCTGATGGCTGTTGCTGCAGCATTTGTGACTGGGGGTCACCCAAAGGGTTCATGATTGGCGATGTGATGGGAACAGGAGGCATGAAGTTTTCAGGCATCTTTTAAAAGATTAAAATAAAAGACACGAAGTGTAAGAATAACAAGGATAGCAAAATTTCCTCAGCTTATAAGTATGGGTGTTAGAGTATTTCATGCTAAAAAGTTTTTAATAGAATAGTTTTTTCAAATGAAATTCCATGTAGAATTCCAGAGTAAAATGTAAAAGTAGAGCTAATCTGGCTAAAGTAGGTAAAGAACTCACACCTGACTCACTGTCTCCCACTGTCCTCCCATACTTACTTCAATAAAGGGGAGCAAAAACCAGAATTTTTTTTTTTTCAGTACTGGGGTTTGAACGTAAGGCCTACACCTTGAGCCACTCCACCAGTCCTTTTATGTGATGGGTTTTTTTTCGATAGGGTCTCGTGAACAATTTGCCCAGGCTGGCAGAGATCCTCCTGATCTCTGCCTACTGAGTAGACAGGATTATAGGCATGAGCCACCAGCACTGGGCTTAAACCAGGTGTTATGTCTGGAGAATTATATCTAACAACATGGGAATCATCTATACCGTGCATGTGTGTACACATGCGCACACACAAACTTAATGTCATAAGGATGTATGCCATTTTTCTAGATTACTAAATGGATATTACTTGGTAATTCAATCATACTAAAAGTAGCAGATTAAGTTTCTGATTATTGCAAACCTATATTTTGTGTTTCCTTGCTCATTTAATGTCTCCCAATTTTATGTTATGACTTCATATTTGGGGGAAAGGGGTGACTTTAGCTTATAAGAAAGAACGAAAATCTTATTTTATGCTTAAATAGCTTTGAACAATTACTGACATATAAACAATACTCAACTACAACACTATTTCTTTTCATTTTTTGTTCTTGGCAGTATAGGACCTCATGTTTGCTAGGTAGGCATTCTACCACTTGAGCCACTCTGCCAGCCCTACAAGGCTATTTCTTAATTCACTATTATATGCAATGGAGGAAAAGGTCCAAATATAATTACTTAAAAACACAATTAGTGTTGGAACCCAAAGACCAAAGTTACCCTTAAGGGGGAAAAAAATCATTTGCAAAGGCTGATATTTTGTTTACTACTGTTTGAGAGCAGCCTGCTGGGAATTTGCATCTTGCTTTCTAAACGGGCTTTAATTTGTAACTCCAATAACAGAGCAAGGTTTTGATGATACTGTTTTCTACTTTTTTTCCTACTTGCTATGGATTAGAAACTACATGTTGAATATACTTTAAATACATTAACCAGTAAGCTTCGCCTTTCAAAGGATCAGTGAAGTGTGGTATGCTCCAAGTGGCTACTTATTAGCATAACATCTGTAGGCTATTGGATAGACATCTTTTTCTAGTACCTTCTTCTTCTTGGGTACTCTGTTCAAAGCTGGAGGATCATTCCAACCATTCTGAGGACCTAGAACAGATAACAGAGGATGTTTTTCTTTAGAATCCTGAAAGTAATAAAATGAAATTCAAATCATCATTTAAACTTTGAAATGGACATCAGTAGTAGAAACTCATTAAATATTTTAATACCACTATCTTCGCAGGAAAAAAACAAATAAAACATGCTGGAATAAGGATGTCTAAATCAAAATTGTTTTATATTTCACCAAGTACTGGTATTTTCTATAAAGGGACTAGATTACTTACTAAAGAAACTTTTATGTGTGTATATGTGTAGAGACAAAAACTTATTCCCCTTCTGGTAAATTTTCTTTCAATGTTTTCACTTTTTCTTGTTTAATTAATATGCATGTTAAGTTACAACAAATTTGCTTAGCAAACCAAAAAACTGATTCAGGCATTCCTCTGACATTTCACAGAAACTTTTAAAAATATAGATTTTCTCCTAACCACCACATACCCACTGGCTTTAGTTTTTAAAACAAAATTAATTTCTACAAGTTTATTAGTAAATAAAATGCCAACTAAGGCTCAAAAAACTTAAGAGTTAGTCCAAAATATTAAATCATAATGCCTCTATCTGCTTAACAAAACTTAAACTTCTGGACACACAGACTAATCACTCAAATCTCTCCCATCACTTTCAAGTCTTACCTGTATCTAGGACAATCTTGGTATGATTATGGTTTTTATGCTTATATAAAATAGACAGCTTTTATGATTTAAAGCTAGTGTCATTATGTAAATTCAATCAGATCTAAAATTTGATTCAATTAAGAAGCCAAGTAAAAACGAAACCGATCAGATTTAGGATATCATCATCTTTGAAGCCCACATGCATTGTCAAAAGTCCATTTATTAATTGTATTCAATGATTCAAAGATTTCCAAGGGTATATTTTAGAACCAATTCACCTTCCAACATAAATGTCTGGTCTTGGATAGACTGATTTTCTGTAGACAAAAGTAAAAGTCACTTAAATAGTATTATTGATTACTAAATAATCAATTCTAAACTCTACTTCTCATTTTATAATTGTTTTGTCTCCCTCCATCCATCCCCAGAAAAAACAAACTTTTAAAACAAGTCATGTGAAATGTCTTCTAACTATTTGAGGAAGTAATTTGTTTTGGGGGAAAGTGAATTCATTTAAGTTGTGTCAGACCTAACTAATTTTATTTTTTCTATGAAATTTTCTTTTTTTTGAGATAGGGTCTCATTATGTAGCCCAGGCTGGCCTTGAACCTCCGATCCTCCTGTCTCAGTCTGTAGAGTGCTGGGATTACAGATATGTACCACTATGCCCAATGCCCAGTTAACTCTTCAACATCCCTTCCTCTTTTCCTTCTTCCCTCCCTCCCTTGCTTTCTTTTATGTGGTACTGGGGCTTTAACTTGGCTTTCCACTTGCTAGGCAGGTGTTCTACCACCTGAGTTATGCCTCCAGCTCCATCACCTTTTCTTTTATTGTGCTATCTCCTTAGGAGAAACTTACCTCTTTATTTAAATAACAGTGTTTCGCTAATTGTTAGTACAGGTTGTTTTTCTATTTGTCTCAGTCTCCACAGTACTGGAATTACAGGAGTAGCAGTTAATTCTTGAACATCATTTTTTTAGCTGGGTGTGTAACACTACCCCAATCAGCACTGCATTTGCTAAAAATAAACATGCCTGACAATGTTGACAGAGTGACACCACTCTTCACTGCTGGATTTGAAAGGTCCCAGAAGGCTGCATTCTGGAAACAACTGTAATTTCTGAGGTCATGTCATAAATATGAATATAAATAAGACCAGGCCCAGAAAACATACTGCCATTCCACATATGATCCTTTCTGTCAGAATACATGGATGTTCAGACTACCTAGCACAAGTCTCCTGGATCACCGCTTCTCTAAGAGAATCAAAGGTTTTAGCAGTGGAAAAAGAGAAAACAGCCTGAAAACTGACAGAGCAATTCTAATTGTCAAATACTTAGGATTAGGCCAGGCCCAGCCTCAGACCAAAAACGTGGTATAAAGCACATATTTTATGAGAACTCAAACACCTTCACTTGCAAGGGAGGAACCAAGAAAAGGTAACAAAAATAGAGAATTCAGCTCGGTTTGAGCTCTACTCAGGAAGCACATGGTGCAGAGAAATTGAAAGGTGGGAGAAAAATCCCACAGCCTGAACTCTCACTGTGTGAATGTGATTCTAATGTTTGCTGACAGATGCTTTTCATGCAATATGGCTCCTAAATACAAGCCAACTTCTTCATGGCACAAGTGGTAGAGTGCCTGACTAGTAAGCATGATGCCTGAGTCCAAACTCCTGTATCACTAACACTTGGCCTAAAAAATAAATTTTATGTTTCAGCATATCACAGAGTTATTTGCTATTCCCTAGAAATATACTATCTTTTTCTGCCTACCTGCCTCTGGGATAATTCTGATTGCTGACTAAGAATTTACTGAACAATGCTTTGCTGGCTGTAACATTCATTTTTCTAAGCCCTGGGCATATAATTATGTGGTTTAATTAACAGAAAACTTGAAAATCTGTAGTGTTTATCAGGAATTATTCACTGGCCAAATGGAATTTTTAAATCTTGAATAAAATCATGATCTATGACAGATCAGAAGACAATAAAATTTTCAGTCATAATTATTCCTATAACTTAAAACTTTTAGAAAAGTCACAAATAAAATACAGTAAAGCTATAACCATTAATTAAAATATAGAAGACTGTTAACATGCAATAGGTAACAAAGCAGCTAGGAATACACAGTACATGCGGAACCAAACAAGTCTGTTTGACTCTTCTTCCCATTAGTCATGTTTCTCAGCCAGGTTAGAACATTCTGTTACTTTGCATATAAACACAGTGCATGCCAAAATGCACTTCTGCTTGAGAAAAAAATACCCATGCAAATATTTAATTTAGATTATAAAGTAACAATGTCTAAAACAGTGCTGCTAGATGATTTTTGTAATTTCTAAAAGCTTTCTACACTTACATCAAGACTAGAATACCCAGTGTGGAACAATAAACACAGGCTTTAAGACTTAGAGACCCAGGTTTGTATCTCAACTTTAAGACTATCACTGTGCAATTCTAAGAACATTACATAATTCCTAATTAACTCGGTTTCCTCATCTGCAATTTTAAAAAGACTAATCATTTCTATTTCTCAGGGTTGTGGGAGCTAAGTAAGAAAGTATACAATAAATGTTAGATCATGTCCAAGGGAGCTTAATAAACATTAATTCCCTTCCCCACTTTGTTGCACTACTTTTTAAGTGGGGATTTACTTGAATCCATACTATCTCCTTCACTCAAGGACTCTGATTATAAACAGCTATTTCAAAATGGATACTGTCTTCACTCATCCAGGTTTAAATAGGTAATTTTGGATGAACTGGCACGCCACTCTAAAATATACACTATTGAAGTATCTGTAGTGTATAATGAAGTTTTACTTGTTTAGTGATGGATGGTGCACATACAGTAGTTCTCCACTTATCTGCAGTGGCAGTTTCTGTGGGTTTAGTTACTCATAGTCAATTGAATACAAATTGTGAAGTAAAGAGTTTTAAACAGGGCACCATGCTAAGTAATGTGATAAAATCTCGTGCTATCCTACTCCATCTTGTCTCATATGCTGTCTCATGGCATAGCCATGTTGCATATGCTACCAGCCTATGACTTCTCAGTAGGATCAGCTAGAATGGTTCTACAGTGCTTGGATTCAAATAACCCTTATTTTATTTAATATAATGACCCCAAAGTACAAAAAAATAGCAATGCTCACAATTTTATTGTAGTTTATTGTTATAACTGCTCTATTTCATTAGTAGTTATTGCTGTTAATCTCTTAATGTGCCTAGTTAATAAATTTACTTTTATCATAGGATGTATGTACAGGAAAAACTTAGTATACATAGAGTTAGTACTACAGATGGCATCCACTGAGGGTCTTAGAATGTATTCTGCATAGATAAGGGGAGGACTACTAATGCTTGTGTGTGTCATTTTTTAATTCTTTGGCCTTATTTGGGGGAGGGGGTACTGGGGTTTGAACTCAGAGCCTCAATCTTGTTAGGCAGGTGCTCTACCACTTGAGCCATTCTGCCAGCCCTGCTTTGTGATGGGTATTTTCAAGATAGGGTCTCACAAATTATTTGCCCTGTCTGGCTTCAAACTACAATCTTCCTGATCTCCGCCTCCCAAATAGCTAGGATTACAGGTGTGAGCTACAGGTGCCCACAAGCTCTTTGGGCTTTAATATTACATAGTATATGTGTATAATTCTGGGATCAACTACCCATAAGCCTTTAAAAGTAGTTAATATTTGAAAAATATTTTATATTACATATTAAGTCATATAATCAGAAAAGAATGCTTCCACAATAAAATTATGGTAAGTTTTTATCAATCAAAGCTACTGTTTAGCATATAAAATGAGAAAAAAAGTATATCAGACTTCCGTAGAACAACTTCAGTATTAGGAGTAAAGCAAGTCTCTCCTCATCTTTTTTGCCTCCCTAGTTCAAAACCATCAATTATAATCTGAAAGGGAAACTACTTGCAAATGTGAACTGCACAGAGCTCTAATTTTAAGTGAAGTTTTCTATAATCAAGCTAACTTTTTAAGTGCTTACTATTTGGTAATCATTGTCCCTAAATGCTTTTAATGTATCAACCCATTCATTTCTTTTAATAAGCTTATGAGTGAGTATTACTATTGTTCTCTGAAGAAACTGAGGCTGAAAGAAGTTAAATAAGTAACTTATTCTAAGATCCTATAGCTAAAAAGTAGTGAAGCTGGGATACAAACCCAGGCAATCTAATTCCATAGCCTGTAACCTTAACTACTAAGAAAGTGGTTCTGAATCCTGAGTCATTGATTCATTCTTCACAACACATATTTCTGTGGCCCTTTTTACTATCTCTGAGTAAAAATCAGGTAATATAACCATAAAAATTAACATAATGCTCTAAGAGTAATATATAAATGAGTGCTAAAAAGAGTTTACAAAATGTTTATTTCATGGGGCTGGGAATATGGCTCAGTGGTACAACATAGACCTAACATGCACATGGCCTGGGGTTCTATCCTCAGCACTGCCAGAAAAAAAGTGTACTTCAACTGCCCAGAAAAATAATAAATAAGCAAGATGATGGATGAATTAACTCAATTTATCCATACATATGTCAAAACATCACAGTGGCTGGGCATGGTGGCTCATTCCTTTAATCTCAGCTACTCAGGAGATAGAGAATGGGAGAACTACAGTTCAAAGCCAGCTAAGGCAAAAAGGTAGCAAGACCACCACCTCACCCAGTAGCTGGGCATGATGGCAGGCTTGTCATCTCAGCTATGTGGGAAACATAAAATAGGAGACTGCAGTCCAGGCTGGCCTGGGCAAAAACGTGAAACCCTATCCCAAAAATAATTAAAGAAGAAAGGAGTGGCAGCGCGAACTAAGTGGTACAGCTCCTGCCTAGCAAGCATGAGGCTGTGAGTTCAACCCTTAGTACCACCAAAAAGTAACAACAAAAATATTAACACTATGCCCCACAAATGTATACAATTATGATTTGCAAATCAGAAACATTACTAATAAAAACTTTTCACTATAAAATATTTATAAAATTATGGTTTCAAGTACAAGTATGTTTGTAGACAAAAAATATGCACAGAGATTTCGAGAATGCCTGAAAAGGCAGTGCTGCCCTAATAGAGAACCTCCATACCACTGAACACTGACTTTCTATTGTCTTCCAGGATCTCCTTGTCAGAGCTGTGTCTCTTGCTTTCATTCTTGGTTAAGCATATAAAGATCATTCCTTGCCACTATAAATAAACTGCAATATATGTATAACCTCATTAAGGACCTATTCTGCTTAATTTTCATGAATGAATTTAAACTACAAATAATTTTTAAAGTTGAAAACTTTTCAAGAGCAGAGCGAATACTTTTGCTGAAGAAATTAGTGTTACCTCGATCTGACTTTAACTACCACTTATCTTGCCAATTAATTTCTTACCACTTATTTGAAGTTCAAGAGCATGCTTACTTGTTTCAAGTTCTAAAGCTTTTTCATTTGGCAACTAAAGTTCATTATGGGATAATTACTCTTTTAGAAAGCTTTAGAATTTGATATAAAAACCCAGTGAACACCTAACTTCACAAACAGAAATAATACTCCCACCCACCCATCTCTTCATGAAACAACAGGGAGCCAAACCAAATCCCTTCTAAGCGCAGACCTGTTCTTTGGGACGCAGGCAGCTCACTGGCAGCAGGCAGTGTACCTGTTGTTCCAGGAGGCAGTGCATAAGCTGAAGATGATGGGGGAGCTCCTGGTCCGCCATGCTGGAAGGATGCTCCAGAGGAAGGGGGAGGAGGGAAAGAAGCAGCAGGGCTGGAGGTAGGTGAGGAGGCTTGGTGCTGTGCTGGGTATAGCTGGGACTGCCCAGAATAGGAAGCAGCAGGAGGTATATAAGGGGTGTTAGGGTAAGCGCTTGAAGCAGGAGGAGCAACAGGCTGCTGAGGTCGATACACTGCTGACCCCCCTGTTCCGAAGGAATACTGCTGGGCTGGTTGGTAAGCTATACCAAGGAGAAGAAACAGAAATTTTAATTAGTTACAAGTTTACTCCCACAGCAAGAAAAAAACCACAAAATTATCTCATTTTGTGGAAATGATTTTAGTCATTATTTTTCTAACAAGTTATAACCATACATTAACACTTGTGGGCTGAGGGTATAACTCAGTGATAGTGCACTTGCACAGTATATGCAAGGCCCTGGTTTCAACTCCCCAGTACCACAAAAACAAACAACAACAAAATTACTTTATGCTTTTTTGAGGCTCAGATGCCCTAAATATATTAAAAATCATTTGATCCAATATTTGAAAAGTGCCATCCCCAGATTGTTACTGGTTACAAAAACCTTTTCCTGTTCCTGTAAAGACTGCAGTGATACCCACTAGCCACCAGATGGAACCATGCAGGATTTTTACATCCAGATCGTGCCTTTTCCAGAAAAAGTTACATGCAGTTTAGTGGGGAGCAGCTCAAACCTCCCACTCTGCCTCATCCCACATCCAGATTAGGGGGACCTTAACACAACCCAGGGTAGGAATGAACCACTACAGAATGAATATAGTAGGTCTGCTCTCTGCAGACAGGACTTTCACACTGAGCACATCTGAGTGAAAGGTTGCATCAAACTTGTATTCCTATTAAATAAGAATGACCACCGTTGATCACACTCATTAGGACTAGATTTACTAGGCAATGGTCTCTTGTTTTTAAGTAGTTGTTTAATCTTACCATTTTTGCCTTTGAGATTTTTATTTATTTAGATTCTTTGTTCCTAATTTTGAAACTATAATGACTTTTTACTTTTCAAATGTAATTATTTTCTAAAAGCAACCAAACAAATGCCAATGGTAGAGACTGAAGTGCACGATTTAGTTAGTGGGCAGCTTGTCTACATATGCACTCTGTACTTTCTGCCAATTTCACTGTGATCTAAAACTACTTAAAAAACAAAGTCTAGCCTACTAGTGATGGGGGAGGTGACTCCAACAATGTATATACATATGAATAAATGTAAAAATGATAAAATAAAAAGAATTTAAAAAAAAAGTCTATGCTAAAAAACATAAATAAACCCCTACAAAATCAGTTAGTAAATAAATGGGAAAAAAACAACAAATGTCCCTAGGAACCAACTTTTTCCAGAAATGGTTTGTGTCATCTTGCCTGAAGAAACAGAATATATACCAAATAATTTCTAAAATTCTATTTTTTTTTATACCATAATTACAGGACACTTGATTCGCTTTACTAGGTCTTAGTAATGTCTTAGGAACAAGAGGTAACTGTTCTGAACAGTGATGTAGAAGCTATCTCCTAGCATGCCGATTCAGGATGCTTCTTAGGGAAGCCATGCTTCTCTATAGTCCTGTGCTGAATGGTTCTTATTTTGTCAAAACTGACTTAACCATGCTTTGGTGTTTCTGAGTTAATGGTTACTACATGAGATAAGGTAGGCTTCTGTGAAAGGACCTTAGGATCACATTACTTACGCTGTGGCTGTGGATAAGGTGGTACCTGGGTGTGCATATGACCTGGAGATGTAGGGAGCTGAGAGGCAGCATTTGGATTGACATTTCTATGGATTATAAAACCTGGAGGCGGAGGATTTTCTCCCTAAGAAATAAGAATATGGTAAAAAGGAGGATTATATTTGGGATCAAGAACCTTACCAGATGGCCCTATCATCTCTGAAATGTAGTTCCATGCTTATTTTAAAACAAACAACTTTACTGTGCAAGAAACACCACATTTTGCATATACTGTCTTCCTCACAATATTACATTTTATGAGCAACACATTCTGAATGATTTAAAGGTCCAAAATGATTTACAATGAATGGCAAAAGATGTTAACAGCTTCATAAAAGTTTCAATATTATTATCAGTCACCAGAATTTCCCATCTCTACTAATTTTCATCCACTACACCATACTCTGGAAATATTTTTCTTCAAATTCTATCATGCTAAATTTAAAAAAAAAGAGAAAGAAAAAGAAAGATAATAAAAAGGAAAAATATCTTTAGAAAATTAGATTTAAACCATGGAAACTTGGTTGATATTTTCCTAGCTCAAGTCAATTCAGAACTGTGAAAGGAAAGGAGGGAAAAAGAAATAGATTAATTGTCTTAAAAACTGCCTCTCACATCCCAAAAGCAATAAAATGCAACAAACAGGCAGATGGATGCAGAGTCAGGGTGGGGAGGACATAAAGAAGAGAGTTAGAGAATATATAGCTAAATATATTCAGGGGAGCAGAATCCTGCTCAAAGAGGAATAATGAAGGATATACCTGTGTGTCAGAGGGAGAGGCTGCAGGTGGATGGCTGGGAAGGGCAGTAGGAGTTTTGTTACTCCAGGTAGTAACAGTAGGGGCAATTCTAACCTGAATTGAACAAAGAAATACCAATCACAGAAAATAAAAAATGAAAACGTTAAAAGAAGAAGAAGAAAAACAACTCAAAGGTATTAATAGCTAGATGCAAAGCAAAAAGTAAGAGCAGCAAGATAACATATTAGTTAGGTGATTGCATTCAAGGTAGCTGGGATTCCAAAAGAAAAGCACAGTCACAACACGGGGAGAGAGGCAGGAAAAAAAAATCAACATGAATTCCTAAATCAAAGCATAAAACCTATGCCATTCAAGCATCAAGAGTAAACGAGGGAAAGTGAGGTTCTTTAAGCAGGAAAAGAAAGAAGATATTCTGGTAAAATAAGTAATTGAGTAATATTTTTTATGCTACTAGTAATCTGTAAACATATTGCTATAAACTCCCTTTCCTGGAGGACATAAAAAAAAAAATCACATTAGTGTCCATGAAGCTTTAAAAAAAAAAAATCACACCATCAGATAATTTTAAAGCTGAGTATTAAGGATTACCCAGTCTAACCCACCCTTTACCAGTAAGAAAACCAAGGCCCAAAGATGTGTGGGGCTTATCCACCCACATTCATACAACTCCAACTCACTGGAGATGGAGCCTGGACTGATTCCAGGCCTCCTGATTCCCAGGTTAGTATTTTCTACATTGCACCATGTTGTTGCTTATTCTGAGGTCTACAGGCTTTCAATTTTCTTTTTAAGCCATCAAAGTCTTATTTGGCAAGTAAATCTTTGTAGAAACCACTACACACACGCACGCCCGCACTAAATAAATAAATGCAAAGTTGTGCTGGTGGAAGTGGGGGTGGAACTCATACTAATCTAGTTCCCCTTATCCCTTTACCCACCTATAAACACTTCTTTAAAACTAGAAGTCACTGTCTTCATCCATTCAGCTTATCATAAGCTTTCATTTAAAAAAAAAAATCACTGCTTTAGTTATGACTCAATTTTTTTTCCAAAAACATGAGATTGATAAATCAAAGTGCAACCAACATCTTCAATGCTTTTACCATTTCCCGGAAAAACAGATAAACCCAAATACATAAATCGTAAATACTCTTTTCTCCCACTGCAGAGCTTGCCTTGCTTTAGAACCTGAGAGGCAGTTTTATCTAAACACAAACTACTTGAATATTCTAATCCCAACTTGGCCATTAAGCAGTCAAGAAAGACTGAGAAACTGCAACTCTGGTGGGATGCTTGACATCTCTGCTTCTCAGTTTTCCTATTCAACCCCCATATGTCATCGATTTTTCTAACACTAATACAATCTCCATGGTGGTAGGGAATTTGTATTTTATTCACCAGGATAATACCAACAGTTAGAACAATGCCTGGAACCAAGTATAATCTCAATAAATATTTGTTAAATGAATGAAAAAAATAATAATAGAAGTCTTCTAGACAGCAAAGTTACATTCAAATGTAGTCTATTCTGTTTAGTACCATCTAAAATAAAACAGGCAAAAGAACATGAATTGATTTTTTTCAGTTGTCTGTGAATTTAGACTTACTTTTACTATAATGAAATATAAAAAGAACCTGTCAATTCCATCACAAATTTGTTCTATTTTAAAACAGGTAGAGTATTTGTTAGCATTGCAACCAATCAATGCCATTTATTACTTAAGAAAAAAAATACTTTTCATTTGAGAACATGAACGTTATCTGCTGATTTGGAAATACAAAAGCTGCTATATGAAATAGTAAAAGACAGTAAGGGCATATTTTATGCCATCAAACACTTGGTAATTAAAATAAAATAAGAAATTATTTATCTTTTTCACATTACTTGTAACTTTAAAACCTTCAGTCATTCCCTTTTCTCCAGTATCCAAGTTGTCTTAAAAAAAGGGCCTGTATTATGGGTAAGATTATTCTCATATTCCCACTACTTTATTTCCAGCTTGTTAGATGAGTCAAATGGATGTTTCAAGTACAGATGTATATGTGTAAGGGAAATCTGACTGAGACAGGAAGGAGGACAAATCTCACTAGAGAGCTTAAAACTAACATACCTAAAATATAATCTGTTTGAGAAGATTAAAGGGATGACTTTGGAAAGGAGATTATAAATACCACTTTTAAGTATTCAGAAAGTTTAACAACTAAAGCAGTATGTTGTCCAGTTTTACCTATTAGAGAAGATCTTTTGCCCAACAAACACTATCAATTTGAAGAGAAATGCATAAATGTTCCTACTTCATCTGACCATATCACTCACATGGGGATAATATTGTTGAGTTTGAACTCTTGACATCTGTGGGTGGCCAGCAATTGGTCCAGGCCTGCCCTTGGGCAGCTGGTATCTCTCATAAGGAATTTTAGGTGTTTCCTGTCCCAGTACAGGCTCTCCTTGTGCTCTACAGAGTCTGTCACGAAGCTGCACAATATTTGGCTATAAACAGCAATGGAAGAAAACAGAGCAAATTGTTAAAGTTCACTCAACTTTATGACAGCATGTTGATTTTCTTAAAGTAATCTATTATTTAAGAGACCCCTTTTTGTTCATATGCTGTGTATTATACAGACCAACAGACTTGACACATAAGGATTCAAAATCATGGTTTCTAATGCTAAAGACTGGCGCCAAAGGCCATGACCTACTGTACAACTTATAATTTAACCGAGGCAAGGAACTGAATCATTTCCATCTTACAGTTAGTGTACAAGTTTGATGGCACTTATCATCACTGCTTTTCTGATGTTTCCTTGTGGATAAGTAATAATGCTCACAAATCACAGGACAAAAAAAAATAAAAAGGGCCTCAAAGAAAATCAACTGCTAAAAATGATAATAGAAGAAAACAATGATTTGAGAGAGAAAAATTCATTTATTAAAATATTTTTGAAATAAAACACTAAGATATCAAATTCCTATCTGTAGTTCATATATGTCTATAGTTATATAGATTTACAAAAGTATATACAAAACCAATGAGGTAGTCCCACTTGTGTGTGTGTGTGTGTGTGTGTTGTATTTTTTCACCCCCGGTGCTAGTGATTGAACTTAGGGCCTTCCACGTTAAGCAAGCACCCTACCACTGAGCTATCCCCAACCTATGTATTTTTATTCAATGAAATTTATTGAAAATTCTCTAGCAAAGATAAAACAATGAAAACAACTGAATAAAACAAAAACTCATCAAAAACTGAATAAAGTTAATAAAAACCACAGAGACAAGAAACTACTTTCAAAGGTTCACAATCAAGCTCCATCAGACATAAAATGCAAGTCAAAACATGCTACTTATGGAAAAGCTTCCTCAAACACCACTCTACTGGCTCAAGTTTCCCCTCTTTGGTGTTCCCATAGCACCACTGCCTCTATCACTCTACTTATCATACTTTCGGAATCCTGCATTTCCAAATCTATAGTCATCAGGGTGTGGAAGCTCTCTGAAGGAAAGGAGCTTGGCAATCTTGTTTATCACTCTATACCTACCATTTGTTAAACCGAATTGAAACAAATATTAGAAAATAGCCCCAGATTTAGTGTATACCAAATAAGGACATTAAATTAGCAATGCAATATAAGTCCCTCTACTTGGAGTAATTTAAAAATACTTGCCTATAAACAGTATCAGACTAAAATGGCAAACAATTAATTTCTTCATTAATATCTTGTTGTACATATGGAAATCAAAACTTTTTAATACCCCATGAGGTTCTTTCCTACAAAGAACCTCATAGGAAGAATGTAAGAATTTGCCTTTAAGAAATAAAAAGTTTGTCCTTTTTCATTTATTTTCCTTAACTACATTCCCTCAATACAAGGGACCTAACATACTACAAAAGCATCCTATTTCTCTGACACAACTTGGGTATACCTAAAATGATCCTTAAAGAATATCAACCACATTTACTACACTTAGGTGACAGAAACTCAACTGCTTCAAAACATTGCATCTACTAGTATGTGCATGCTTAATATCAAGCACTACATCCTCTAAACTCTTTTATTCAACATATTAAAAAGAAAATAACAAATTGTCAATCTAATTACCTGGTTGGTGTTATCAGGAAGAAAAGCCAAGGCTGCAGCAATACTGCCTTGGGCTGCCAACAAATTGGCATACTGACTCATCTTCTCAGCCAAAAGAACTCCTACAGTATTAGTGTCCATGGCTTGGCTAAGTTGTACAGCTTTTCGGAGAATGACAACTTTCTCAATCAGATCCTAAATGAGAAAAACAAGGGAGAATGAGAGAGAAACAGAGATACTAAGACCATATATATGATAGCAAACAGGAAAAGATAAGAGTTGCTAAGATTTCCAAAACCTACTAAAAGTATAGTGCCTTTTGTTACCCCTGTTTGAAAACTATGGGATAGGTGACCACCATTAAGGTAACTGAAAGAGAAATTAGGAGGAGGAACTCTCTTACTTGTGGTTACAGCACTCTCTTCCTAAACTGCCTTAAATTGCCAGATACTCATCCACTGGCTTAAGATAGGCAATATCAAAAATGAAAGTGATGGGCATACAAGGGGGGCAATGCATCCAATGCACAATTTAAGTCTAATCAGAATTGCCACTATGAATCCCCCCCCATAATGAAATAATTATAAATAAATAAAATAATACCTATGGGCGGGGGAGGAAAGTGATGAAAGTGATGGGCAGAAATCCAAAGGCAAAAACTGTGTCCTAGCAAGTAGAGGAGGAACTATGAATGAAAACATCACACCATCTTTCCTATAACAATACTACTACTAATGGATGACCCATAAACAAAGGTACATGACCTCCAAAGGGGCTTACTATGTGCTAGTTTTGATGTTGACATACCTCAATGGCCCATGTGTCATCCCCCCAAAGGCTTGCTACCCAGGGTGGCACTACTGGGAGATGGTGGAACCTTTAAGAGGTGGGGTATAGTTGGAGGCCCTTAGGTCATTGGGGGCATGCCCTTGAAAGGAACTGCGGGACCCAGGTCACTTCCTGTCTCTTCTCTCTTCTATTTCCTGGCTCATGATGTAAGTGGTATGTTCCCCCAGGTACTCCTGCTGTGATGTGCCTCTCTTGCCAGAGGCCAAAAGCCATGGCTGTCAGATCATGGGCAGCAATCTCCACAGCCATCAGCCAAAATAGAACCTTTTCTCTTTAAACCTTGATTATCCCACATATTTCACTACAGTAATGCAAAAATGATTAATATACTATTGTGACTACAAGTCTGTCAGGTTGCTTTTCAATACCAATTCTTTCAACAAGGGTAAACTATGCTTCAGGGAAAATGTATAGGAATACCCTACCTAACTGCTCTTTACAACTACACAAATTCGGAAGTGTGGAACAAGGATTTTTCTCTCACAAGCATTTAGAAGGAAAACCTTGATTTTCTACACGATTTTTAGTGTGTTTGGTTTTTTTTTTTTGGTACTGGGGATTGAACTCAGGACCTCATGCATACGAAGCAAACACTAAACCACTGAGCTATATCCCCAGCCCTGATTTTTAGTTTTAAAAGAACAAAAAAAATTTTTTTTTTGGTAGGATTACAGTTTGAACTCAGGGCCTTGTGCTTGCAAAGCAGGAGATCTACCACTTGAGCCACTCTGCCGATCCATTTTGCTCTTATTTTTTTGGAAATAGGGTGTCACAAACTATTTGACTGGGCTGGCTCTGAACTGTTATCCTCCTAATCTCAGCCTCCCAAGTAACTAGAATAACAGGCATGAGCCACCAGCACCTGGCTTCAATAGAACAATTTTTAAAGCAATGATTCTATTGATAAAAAAATCTCTCTGGAGAAAAAAAATAAAAATTACAATAAAATATTGTAAGATTCTGCTGATTAAATGCTTTCAGAAAACAATATATAGATAATAGTTATCCCATGCTGGAGAAGAGTTGCCACAATTTTACGGCCTTTTTTGCTTGTGTATTGATGCTACATGGGATTCCATTTACCTCTTATTTCATTTTTCCTCAATCATGAACATCGCTATTGGTCCTAGGGAGGTCTCTTATTTCTTAGCCAGCATTGCCTCTTTCTTAGCCCAATGCAGGCACAGCCACAGGAAGCAGGAGCAACACATGGAAAAAGGGCTATTTCAGTGCCACCTACTTCCCCCAATAAACTGCCAAATCACAATCTTGATCTTATGAATAGCTGCAATTCCACTTTGCTATTCCATCATCTCAAATTTTGCTTCTTTCAAGATAGCAATAAATACATAGTTACCTAGCTAAGAACTTCTAGAAAGTAAATTAAGTAGGAATAGCAATAAACTTCTAGAACAAATGAATTTCCTGAAGATAACTTAGTCATAAGGAGAGTGAAAGAAAACACTAAAACGCAAGCACCTTTTGTTTTAAAAGACACTAACCTGAAGGGACAAAGGGCTGTTGCCATCCTGTGCTTTAGTCCAGCAGGCAACTAGTTTCTCTACATTCCCTGCACAAATATAGCAGAGACATGCCTGGGCCTGTAGAAGGCTATCTCCTTCACTTTCAAGTCTGGCTCCCAAAAGATCTGTAAGTCAAGAGGAAAACAAAATATGATCATACCCAAGTTAATCTGTACATGAGGCTGTGAGCATTTCAACAGTATTTTTCAGGTATAGATTAAATTTCACAACACATGAGTAGCAGACAGAAACAAAACCCACTCCGAATGCTGAGGTAGTGTTGTTAAATGAATGAAAGTAGATGACAAGACATATGTAATAAATGACCTCACAAGATTCTATATCTAGCTGTAGAAATGATTTATAAAAACTTCCAATGAAAATTGTCATTAATTTTATTTACAACATTTATGTAACATAGCTATATATAACGCTCATTTCTTACCACACAGGGCTGAAAATTCATCTGGTTTAGCGTAAGTCAATACTGCAGCTAAAGCCTCTCTCCAATTTTTAAGATCACAGGACTCAACAATCTCTTTCCAATTCTTCATCACCACTGCAGTAATGAGCTTGGGAAAGAAAAACAAAGGGAAAATTAAGTCTTTACTATTAATGAAAGTTAACTCTGGCTAATCAATCCTATCTTTCCTTTTTTGCAGTGCCAGGAGTTCTAACCCGGGCTTCGCATGCTAGACAAGCACGCTACCACTGAGCTACATTCCCAGGTATCATCTTTCAAAACCACAATTTATAGTGCTGCATGCCAAATAAATCAGTGGCAAAGTAAAGTATATCCCTGAACCATTAAGAAAGAAAACCATGGCAGTACAGTGACTCACACCTGTAATTAGCCACTTTGGAGGAAGAGTCTGTTAGGATCGCAGTTTGAGGCCCATCCGGGCAAAAAGTTATCGAGATCCCATCTCAACGAAACAAGCTCAGGCATGGTGGTACACATCTGTCATCCCAGCTATGTGGGATAAGTATAAGAGAATGATTGTGTTCCATGGCTGATCCTCAGCAAAAATTTGAGACCCTACTTAAAAAAATAACTAAAGCCTTTCTTCAAGCAAAAAGGTCTGGGATTTCCAGTATGGCTCAAGTGGCACAGCACCTGCTTAGCAAGTGGGAGAACCTGAGTTCAAACCCCAGTATTGTCCCCAACCCCCCAAAAATCACAGCAACGTATTTTATAAAGTGCTGAGAAGAAAAGTAGAAGATACTAGCAGAATGGAAGACGTGCCCTGGTGTGGTGGATGAGGAAAAACTACATAGCCATGGAAACTTTAGAGAGGTGATTTGAAGGACGAGCAGCATATAACTTCACTGGAGAGGGAAGAGCATTCCAGGCCAAGAGAACAGGTGCAAAGTCCCAAAAAGAAAGGAGGGAGGGAGGAGCTGAAAGGCAGCCAGTGTGACTAAAAGAAAACAGGGAGAGGCTGTGGAGAGGTACAGTAACCAATGGTAGTGGGTGGGACTCACTGTGGTACAGTATTTCGGAAAATAATTTCTATAAAAATCACTTATTTATGATATGGAAACTAGTATCAAGCTTTAAAATGTTCAGACCCTCTGTGACAGAAATTGCTCTAAGAGGACTGAAAATAATCAGTAATTCGCACAAGTATTTAGGCACAAAGAAAGTTTTTTTTTAAATCACTGTATAAATAATGGCATTTACCTACATGAAGAAAATATTAGAATATACCTAAACATTCCCAAAAAAGAGACATAAATCATCCTTACCATAAAATATTGTAGAACAATTTAAATTTTTATAATAATCTTTAATGCTGTGAGAAAATACTTAAATGTAAATGACAAAACCTATTAAAACCACACACATTTATAATATATAATCTATTTTCAATCAGGAAAAATTCTACAAATATAAAGATAGGAAAGCTGTGCACCAATCTATTGGCAGGATAAGGAAGTGCTAAAATTTTAACCTTTAAATTTTCTAAGTTACATTTTTTTAAAATAATATTGAAATATTTTTAAATTATATATGGAAGCCACACAACTGGAATAGTCATGTGAAATTGTCAACAACTATTTTTAGGTCAAGGAATTATAGATGGGTTTTCTAATTCTTTACTGTTTTCTGCATCTCAATTATCTACAGTAACAGCATATTACTTTCATAATCTGAAAGATAAATACGTTGCCTGTAATTCCAGCACTTGGGAGGCTGACAGGAAGATTGAAAGTTTGAGGCCAGTTTGGACCACCTAATGAGAAAAAAAAACAACCTATTGTTTATTTTGTTCATTTATTTTGAAAATAACATACCCTGGTAATTTTGCTTTGGGATTTTGCAAAGTACTTTTTCTGGGTTTGAGCCAAGAGAGTTCTTGTCCACCTGCTATTGCCAATATAATGGCATCAGCCATTCGGTTATCATGTAAACAAAGGTCAACAGCACTCTCAAAATTACCCGTCAACAAAGCCTGAGTAATTAGGCCATCAATATCTGCAATAAGGAAATAAAACATGCACGTTAAATAGAGGTTTTGTTACCAAAAACAACTATAACAAAATCCCACATAACAGATTTTCTACATAACACTAATGGAGAACACAATGGTAATTTTTTATTACTGGTGGATAAAATTTCTAACATAAACTTTCAGTATTTATAGAAGAGAGCTATGACAATACGCTAAGATACATATAAAGTAATATTATTTACAGATTGCTTAAATGGATTAGTGAAGATCACTTAGGTGTCAGAATATACTATTTGTCCTGAGTATTGATTACATATACTAAATGAAAACTAAGTTCTTTCTCAGCTTGTGATAAAACACTTCCAGTCAAGCATTGTGGTGAACTGTAACCCCAGCATTAGGTACATTGAGGCAGGAGGATCGCGAGACTAGGCTAGCTTAGTCCATATAGCAAAACCCTCAAACAAACAAACAACGGGGGGAACACCAAAAATATTTCTAACTTAAACTTAAGAACTACTTGCTTTTAAATGGTTTAAAAAAAAACAAGACAAAAAGAAAAAATCAAAACAACAGGTACTTACCCCCACTGATGGAGATACTAAATGTTCCTCTAGCTGAGGATAGAAATTCAGATTCTTGTCTTTCTTCTTTAAAGCACTAAGGGATGGAAAAGGCAGCAATTTAGCTAAAATGAAACTGTAGAATAATTTACTGGCAAAACAAAGTTTTATATGATTATTCACCTACCTACTACATGGTATACCAACTTATTCCAAAATAGTTTCCATCCTAGTTAATACTAGGATCTATCGTTTTCTGAGGTATTAATTTCCAATATGCAAACATAAAAACAATTAAAGGTCATCAGAAATAATGCTAAACAAACATAACTGTACATACTCATTACAAAATATGTACAATAATAATTCAAAAATTATTATTAAAAGTAAAGAATCTTTGTTTTCTTCAATACCTCAACTCTGAGTAACTTAAAACATATAAAATATACATGACTGAAATCCTTGCTCAGCATGTGTGAGGCCCTGGGTTTGATTTCTACCATGCCCAGCTTTTTACTGGTTGAGCCGGGGGGGGTCTTTTAACTGTTTCCCAGGGCTGGCCTCAAACTGTAATCCTCCAGTTCTCTGAGTTCCAAGTAGCTAGGATTATAGGCATGGCCACTGTGCCTGGCTCCAAATGGTCTTTTATTTGACAATATATAGTTAATTTAGTTGCACACAAATGAACTTACAACATATCTATTGACAATTCTCTCTAGGTATCCCCCAAATTAGTCCAAACTTTTAGTAAGATTTTATCCACATCCTTTGTTTCTTTGTTAAAATCCTAGGAGACTGACTTAAAAGGAAGCTATTTTTACTAATCATCTTGTAAAAGTCTAAATATATTAATTATTTTTAAACTTAGTGAATGATTATATAAAACATTCCAGTCAGGATATCCCCATATCACAAAAGGCGATGAAAAAGTCCAAGATGAGATGAGAAATAAGAACTTGTTAATTAATTGTCCAAGATGAAATAAAATTAGAAATAGGAGAAGTAAATTATAGAATTAATTATTAGTTATTAGAAAATGAAAAAGAAAAAAAAATTAATGATACAACTCTGTGTTCAAGGACTCTTTTTGAATTAGTTACAGAAATTACTAAGTACAACTAAGGACACATTTACATTTACATTCATGACTATCAATTCAGTTAGTGTCATTTTTTTTTATTTGTTCTCCAAATCTGGATTAATTCAGTCCATGTCACTGACAGTGGGTGAAGAATACTGATGTGTGAAGAACCTATTAACTTTACATGCAATGCAAAGTGGCTTTCTGAAAAAAAATTTCTTTTCAGTTTGACACGCTGATAGTCACCTGACCACAATCAGTTAATCTCACATCAGCTATTAATTTTAAACTATATAATTCATAAGCTAGGTTAGAGAACTAAAGCGTTCAGAGATAATACTCCTGTCAGTTTAGGTAAATAGATTCTTACCTTAAACATCTCTAAGAAAGTAACACTACAACTTAATTTTGCAATAAGCAGTCATGGTGATTTTCCATATTTCCATGTGAAACATACAATTATCACATACTTGTCTAATATAATATAAAAAAAAGTAAGTACCTCTCCCAAGAGCTGCTCTTCAGCAGCAGGGCTCTCCTCCCCATCACTCTGTGCTACTTGATCAGAGTCTTTAAGAGCCTTTGGTATACAAAACAATTACAGAAGAAGTTGAAGAAGGAAGCATTAAAAGGTTATTAGTAATAAGGAAGACAAAAGACCCAACAACCAATAATATTCAGATCTAGTCTGATCAAAAGACGCAATACCAAGTAAACTTATTTCAGAAAAAATGTTACAGAAAAAGCAAGAGAAATTACTGCTAATATCTTCCCTTTTTTCCTATTAAGTGTCACCCAGCATGAAAGATCTTTACCTTTGATTCCATTTTCCTCTTTTACAAAATTCAAATATGCCAAAAGAAAGGAATGCTGCATCAACTAAACTTAAGTTAAAAATTATGAACTTATTAAAATATTTAGAATAGACATTTACTTTTATGACATGAAGCATAAAGCAGATAAAACTTCTTAAATTATGCTTCCTTCTTTGCTATGACCTAACTAAACGTTTAGAAGGCAGCTATTTTTAAAGACCTTCTTACCACATTGGATCCATCCACTTTGTTCAAGGCCAAAGCAATCTGAAATAAAAATAACAATTTACCTAATAAAATGGAATTCTATTTCAGGGTGTTCAACAAATGTTCATCTCATATTTCATTATATTAAGTTTAAGAAAAGAATAACATCTGTGCAGAATTGGTTCTCAGTGGTTCTAGTTTCATTCATATGGAGTTCTGGAGCACAGAAGTCAATGTGCTCTGCTGTTTAGGCACAAAACTAACCTCAAAACAAACATGTTTTCTTCTACTTTGTTTTAAATAACTATAAATTTTTCTTCAGGTACTCATTATGAAAAGAACTGCTAATGAGAAGTATTTTGACAACCAGATTTTACTTCCTCATTTTTTGCTATTCAGGCATGCAATAAAACTTTCCTATCAATCTCTTACAAACATACAAAAGAATTTTAGGCTAATAATAAAGTTAAATATAAAAACTCTAAAGGAGCAAGCAAAGACACAGCCTAAATTAAGCAGTGAGACTATGATATGATCCCAGATCTGTATGACCTTGCAATACTAGGCTGTGTCTAGAGTGCATGGTACAAACCTGCACTACTTAAGCAACAATTGTACTATGCTACAGACAACTTAGTTTTTGCCAAAGAATGGAGAAAGGCTAATACAAATTATATTGTCAGAGAACTAAAATAGTGCCTTCAAGATTTCCACAGTATTTTCACTACTACTGATGCTGATGTCAACATTACAGAATAAAAATTAAGCACCCTTTTAAAACTGTTACGCAAACCACTTGAACTTTGTTTACTCAGATTCAGTACAATAATTCACTCTTGTTGCAAAATATTTATAAGTTACTTGTTAGCTGGATCAACTCAATACACGGTTTGAGAATTGTATGCTAAAGGCATCAAGACAGCTAGGATGGAACACTGGGACAGCTTGAAACAGTACTCTATTTTTTCATCACTCGAGTTGTACAGACATGGGGGAATTTCTAATAGTTTCTCTCCTTCTCCACAATGCCACTGCTTATACCTCATATTAAAATCTCAGCATTATTTCTATTGTTCTTGACAATCTAGTATGAATTAAAGGTGGTCTGGAAGTTTCTAAACTCAGGTATAAAGTAGAGTTTTACATTTCAAAACTTTGGCAACCATACATAAATTCTTATGAAATGTTTATTGACATATTTGAAATAATTTGTGAAGAACTATTTTAAAAAGACATAAATATTTTATTCAAGGACAGCCATTCAATGTCTCCATAAGTTTACCTTCTTTCCTAGATCTTCTTTTCTGAATCCTAGAAGCTCAAGATATTTTCCACGAGAATCATCCTCAAAGTTTACCTTTTAAAAAAAAATATTCTTGAAACAAAGACCTACATTTAAGCCTACTTTTATAAGAATCAATCAAATTCCAAATAAAATTATTACAAATATAGATAAGTCTATATATATTACAGATAAGTCTACTATATCATCCTCAAGATTCATTGGGAGAAAAGAATCCAAGGAATGGATTTTTAAAAATTAGCTAATTTTTGTTGTTGTTTTTCTTTTTGCTTGTTGTTTTTGAGATAGGGTCACACTACCTAGCCCAGGCTGGGCTGGAACTCACTATGTAGCCCAAGCTGGCCTCAAACTAGAGACCCTTTTGCCTCAGCCTCCAAAGTGCTAGAATTACAGTTGTGCACCATCACATCTGGCTCTGGTTTCTTAAATTCCATCATAAACTCCTGCAGCCACACTTTTCCAACTGTTCCTTTAAAAGGAAGACAGATTTAGAATATAATAGGGACAGTGAACTTTACAGACAATGGGATAAAATGGTTTTATATACCAACTTTACCTTCAAAAAGGACCACACGTTTTTCTCAAAGTCAGTCTGCGAAGCATCAATTTTTTTCTGGCAGTAACTGATAAATCCTTGTGACTGCACAACCTGCTGCAGTTGGTCTGATCGGCTGAGAAACTCCTTTTCTGTTACCACCTGACTAATGAACACGTGCTGCTGCTGCTCAGCTCCCTGCTGAGACTGCACTTTGACATTCTCAAAGGTGACAAGCTTGCCTCCAAACTGTAAAAGAATAAATGAAAGGAATCAGTTTTAACCACCAGGATAGCCTCAGAAAACCTGCTTACTGGAAACCTGTCAAAATAATGAGCCATGGCCTAAATATACCAATTTGGTGAATTTAGCTAATTCTCCCAAACTCTACAATCTGACTTCAACATTCAATTATTATTCTTCGCTTTCACAACCCACTTTCTGTATGAAACTGACAAAAATGAAGATAAAAATACAAAGACAATGATAGTAAGAGATTTTAATAATGGACAGATGATAAGGAAATAGAGGACTTAGAAAATATGCTAGACAAACCTGTCCTAATAGAGAATATAGAACACTTCACTCTTTTCAAGGGTACACAGAACATTCTCCAGAATAGGATACATGGTAAGCCATTAAACAACCAAAAATTTAAAACTGAAATCATACAATTGAATAATCATACAAATTTAAGATTGAAATGACTGAAATCAATTATCTTTTCCAACCACAGTAAAATAAAGCTGCTATTATTGAACAGCAAAAGAATGGAAAATTCACAAATATGTGAAAATAAAACAACACACTCTTGAACTAGCAAGTCAAATAAGAAATCCCAAGGGATAATAGACACTATCTTGAGACAAATGGAAACACAAACACAACATACCAAAACTTATGAGTTGCAGCAAAAGTAGTACTAAGAGGATAGTTTTTATAGCAGGAAATACAGATCAATAACCTAACTTAACATATGAAGGAACCAGAATAAGAAGACAAAAAAAGGTAGAGGAAGGAAATAGTAAAGATGAGAGCAAATAGAGAAGAGAAAAACAATTGAAAAAATCAAAAATAAGAGTTGATTTTAGAAGAAATCAACAAAATTCACAAACTTTAGCTAGACTAAGGAAAAAAAAAAAAAAACTAGAACACTCAAATAAAAACCAGAAGTGAAAGAGTAGACATTACAAGTGATGCCCACAGAAAATAAAAAAGGATATTGAGACCTACGTATGAACATTACATTAGCACCGAAGGAGAAACCTAGAAACATACAACCTAAAGATTGAAAAACAAAGAAACAAAATATATAAACAGATGTCTACCAAGTAAGGTGACTGAATCAGTGACCTAAATGTCCCAAAAAGAAAAGGGAAGAATCAGATCGTTTCACTGGAGAATTCTATCAAACATTTAAAGAACACAGGAAGTGTGGCTCAGGCAGTAGAGCACCTATTTTGCAAACCAGAAGCTCTGAAGTTAACAAAACCCTAATCCGCATCCCCCCTCAAAAAAAAGCCAAAAATAAACATTTAAAGAATAATTAGCACCAAAATACTTCCAAAAACTAGAATAGGAAACTCTTCCAAATTCATTTTATGAGCATTTATTTACTAGCATTATATTGATACCAAAGTCAAACAATGATAATATATGACTACAGCCCAATATCCTTGATGAATACTGATGTAAAAAAAATCCACAATGAAATACCAGCACACTAAACTGAAAGGATTATCCCCCATGGCCAAGGGGGATTTTATTTCTGGAATGTAAGGATGGTTCAAAAGTAGGAAAATCAGTCAATATAATATACCACACTGAGCAAACAAAAGGATAAAAATCACATGGTCCTATCAATTAAAGCAGGAAGGGTGCCTGACAAAATTCAACATTCTTTCCCAATAGAAGCAGTAAACAAAACAGGAATAGAAAGGTGTTACAGGTTCAAAGTATGATACCTGCAGAATTCATGTTGCAATGTAAATACCAATATGAAAGTATTAGAGGTGAGGCATTTAAGAAATATTATGTCAAGATGCAGAACCCTTATGAACAGAATAAAGGAGGAAACTAAAGAGCTCTTTTGCTCTTTCTCCTTGTGAGAACACAGACTTCGTTGCCTCTGGAGTATGCAGCAACAAGATGCCATCTTAGAAGCAGAGACCAGGCAGTCAGCACTTTAAGCCTGTTGGTGCCCTGATCTTAGACTTCCAACCACCAGAACTGTGAGAAATAGATTGCTATCATTTATAAACTACCCAGTCAGTGGTATTTCTTACAGAAGCAGGAATGCACTAAGACATAAAAAATTTTAAAAAAAGATCTCAACATAACAGAGGTCAAATATGAAAAGCTCACATCTAATATCTTACTCAGTGGTAAAAAAACTAAAAGCTTCTCCTCTAAAATTAGGAACAAAGTAAGGATGACACTCTCACCACTTCTCAATGCAGTACTGAAGTCCTAGCCAAAGTAAAGGAGCAAGAAAAAGAAAGAAAAACATACAAGTTAGAAAGTAGCAAAGTTCTCTGTTCAAAAATGGTATCTTATATGTAGAAAAGTCTACAGATAACACAAAAAACTGTTAGAACCAGTAAGTGAACTCAAAGTTGCAGGAACAAAAATCACAAAATCAGCTGTTTCTATATACTCAAAATGACTGATGTGAAAAGAAAATTGAAAAAAACTCTTCGATTCACAATACCATCAAAAAGAAGATATTTAGAAATAAACTTAACAAAGGAGATAAAAAAACTTGTACATGAAAACTACAGAATATCACCAAAAAAATTAAAGACATAGATAAATGGAAACATATCTTGTGTTCATTGACTGGAAAACTTAATATTGTTAACATGTCCATACTATCCACAGCACTCTTATCAATGCAATCCTTGTTTAAATTTCAATGATTCTGGGAGTGCTGGCACCTACCTATAAGCCAAGCTACCTAAGACACTGAGGTTGGAGGACAATGTGAGCCCAGGTATTCAAGTCCAGCCCAGACAAAAAGAGACACTGTCTCAAAAATAAATCAATAAAATCCCAAAGACATTTTTAAAGAAATAGGAAGAACAAAGCTTGAGGCTTCACACTTCTTGGTTTGGAAGCATATGACAAACTGACAGACACACAGACTAATGGAACAGAATAGAGACAACAGAAATTAATCCATATATATATATATATACAACCAAATGATCTTTGATTGGGGCACCAAGTTAATAAAACCTTCAAAAAAAAAAGTTCAATCCTTACTGTATACTATCAAAAATCTCCAAAATAAATTAAAGACCTAAAAACTAATAGACTAAAATATAGAGGGCAAACTTCGACATCAGATTTGCAATGATTCTTGGGTATGAAACAAAGTAACAGTCAACAAAAGCAAAAACAGCAAAGGAAGCTATCTTAGTCCATTTTGTGTTGCTCTAACACAATACCTGAGATTGAGCAATTTATAAACATTAGGACTTTATCTGGCTCATGGTTCAGGAGGCTGGGAAGTCATTATCAAGGTGATGGCACCTGATGAGAGCCTTCATGCTATGTCAATCTATGACAGAGGTGAAAGGGCAAGAGAGTGAGGAAAAGAGTGAGCAAGAGGGAGCAAAACTTGCTTTTATAGCAAATCTACTTTCACCATTACTAACTGATTCCACAGTAACAACATTAACCCAATCATCTCTCATCAGGCTCTACTGCTGCATTGGAGATGAAGTTTCCAACACATTCAAACATAGCTTAAACAATCAACCTAGTAAAATGGCAGCCTACAGAATGGGAGAAAATATTTGTAAATCATGTCTCTGATAAGGAGTCAATAGTCAAAATATATAAACATCTACAACTCAACAACAAACACAAACTGAAAAATGGGGCAAAGGCCTTGAATAGACAGTTGTCAAAATGGCTGACAGACACTGAGATGGTAAAATGGTCAAGTGGCTTACGAAAATAGTGTGGAAAAGTTCCTCAAAAACTTAAAAGCAGAACTATCATATGACCCAGCAATCTCATTTCTGGGTATATATCCAAAGAATTAAAAACAGAATCTCGATGAGAAATTTACAAATCAATGTTTACTGCATTATTCACAATATCTAATAAACTGGAAGTAACCTAAATGTTCACCAACAGATGAATTGATAAGGAAAATGCTGTATATAAATACAATGCTATTAGCCTTCAAAAAGAAGGAATTTCTGTCATAAGCTACAACATGGATGGACCTGGAGGATGTTATGCTAAGTGATAAGCCAGATACAAAAAGACAAATACTACTAACTTAGTCAAACTCCTAGAAAATAGAAAGAAGAATTCTCAGGAGCTGGGTAGTGGAGTAGTATTTCAATTTTGCAAGTTGAAAAAATTCTAGAGGTCTATTGCACAACAATGTGCATACAATTAACACTACGGTACCATACACTTAAAAATGGGTAAGATGGCACACTTTATGTCATTTGGGTTTTACAATAAAAAAACCTCACAGTTAAAGAAACTACAAAAGGAAGAAGAGGACACACAGCCCCCAGACACCCTCCAAAACAAGGAGAGAAAAGATAAGTTGTTTTTTTGTTTTTTAAAGAGAGAGGGGAGGTGATTGAGGGTGGTGATGGTTATATCAGTAATGGGATGTACTTAATGGCCATTCTGATCTACCTACCTATTGTCCTTGAGATAGGGCTTCACTATGTTTCCCAGGCTCATCTTCAACCCCAATCTCCGACCCAGCCTCCTGAGTAGCTGTGATTACAGGCACATGCCACCATGACCAATGAACTGTATACTTAAAAATGATCAGGATGATGTATGAACAGTCAACAAATATATTTCAAACCTAAACTTTTTTCTATTTGAATAATCATAACCCCTTACTTTGAAACGTCCTTTGTGTCTATGAGCCATAAAAAATAAAATCTACGTACTGAAAAAGAAAGCCCGACAGGTTCTTCGGACATTTGGCGGCTTCTTCAGAGGCAGCACTATACTGTGCTGAGCAGTCTGCTGAGGGATTTGTAATGGAGGAAGGGGCTGTCCGGTTCCAAAGGGATCAAGATTCCCAAAAGATGATGAAAGCTGAAAAAAAAGCATGAATCTGTAACTTACACAAACTTTGTTGCATTTTTCAAGGCAGACCCAAGAAATTTTTAAATCATAATTATCCTACAAATCAGTATTTTCAAAACAATTCGATAGTATGATCATCTTTTAGGGTGTTAAGAATCGAAGGCTTTAAACCTTCAATTACCTTGTCAACTTGTTTCTGCCTTAAGCCATCTGAGCTCCCTCCCATGATAGAATAAACACTGATTCGTCCATCAAAGGAAGCAGCTGACAGAACAGCAGGATTTCGGGGACAAACTGAATAATAATCAAGCAACCACTGTGGTTGGTTGGGAGTTCATATAACAACCTGGGCCAAATAAATAAGGTTAAACAACCAAATCAGAAAAAGGTATAAAAAAAACACACACACTTTATAACCAAAATCATGGGATTTAAAGTAACCAGCAAGTACAGTTAAACATTTTCCTTCTTTTTCTTTTGGTAGTACTAGGGTTTCAACTCAGGGCTTTTCACTTTACCACTTGAGCCATGCCCCAAGGCCTTTTTTGCTTTAGTTATTTTTTCGATACAATGTAGCACTTTTTTGGCCTGAGCCAGCCTTAGCTACAATCCTCCTACATGCTACCACCTAGCTGGGATTACAAAAGTGAATCACCATGCCCAGCTTGTTTATTGAGATGGGGGGGGGGTCCTCACTAACTTTTTTGCCCCAGTTGGGCTTGAATTGTGATCCTCCTGATCTCTGCCTCCCATTTGGCTGGAATTATAGGCATGTACAACCATGCAGGTAAACATTTCCTTTTAAAAAGAATTCTTAGCCCGGGAAAAGAAAAAGAGAATAGTCAATCATGATGGTCTACCATACTAGACAGGAATACTACTGATGTTTCAACTAGACTTCAACAAGCATATTTTAAAAACAGGTTTTTCTTGAAATGGTAGTAGATGTGTTTGGAAGACTAGAACACTCTTACTAAACTCTTCAAAGGTAAAATGGTGCTCTGTCCAATTATTTTTGCCCAGAAAGAGCCAAATAACCATACGCAAGTGGTTTTAAGACCATGTTTTAAAATCATTCTTAAGAGGAAAGAATTCACTAGAAGCATGGCTTTCTGTCAAGGGAGAAAGCAATGGGCACCACCATTTGTACTACCTACTACTGCAGAAAACTAATACAATTTGGCATTAACAGCATCTTCAGGAGCAAAAGGACATGGAAAACTATAGAAAACGGCTGATGTAAAACCTTTATAACCTTATTACAGCTGTTCATTCAAAGCTAGTGTGGGAACACAGGATTTTAGTCAAATGATCTTAACTTTGGCTTTGTGTGACATTTAAAACACTTTCTAAGAAAACAGAAGTTAGGAAGTGTCCAGCATGCTCTGTCTTTGATCATACGAACTGGTAAGACGAGCTGATGACTTAAATGACTTTTGTTCTGTTCGTATCTTGCAGCTTTTAATAAAAAAAAAAATCTTATTTTGTTTCAGTTGTAGGAAACATACACTAAAGGTCAATTAGTTCAAAATACACAAACTTAGTTCACATGTAAAACATCCACTTTTTAAAATTAATGCAAACCTCAGAGAATCCAAGATGGCGGCTAGAGGAGGAAGCAGAAAGCGTGCCTCCTATAGTGAAATCTTGGAGAGACGCTGGACACACTTTGCAGGCAAAACACCAGAAGAGGCAAAACTTTGACCCCTCCACACCTCCAGCCAGGCAGAGAATCTCCACTTCACGTTAAACGGAGAAACAGGGGCCCTGGGCCGCCAGTCACCTGCCCAGACGGCTTGGGAAACCAGACAAGGTGAGCTTGGTACTGGTACTCCCACAGACAACCTGGGCCAGAGCAGCATAGCCCCCTGGACAGACCGACCTCCACCGGGAAAAAGAGAAACTGAGTAATAAGCAATAAGAACAATAAAGACACGGGAAAGAGGGTGGGCGCACTGAGCACTGAAGATTGGGGAAGGGAATCCTTCCCGGAACTGTAAATAAACAAGCGGGCAGGCTGGAAGGCTCTGGGGCAGGGGCGCGCCCCAGCAACCAGGAGCGGGAAAGCTTGTGAGAGTGGCAGGAGGGAGGAAAACTCCACAGGAGAGGAGGGAAGACCCACTTCCCATGTGAACTGTAAACAAACGGCTGGCAGGAGCAGCAGCACCACCCAGTAATCAGGAGCAGGAAAGCTTGAAAGTGGCAGGTGGAAAAACTCCAGGAGAGGGGGAAGACCCATCCCACATGAACTGTAAATAAACAGCAGGCCTAGAAAGCGGTGCAGTGTCACCTTTCCCCAGTGTGCTTGGAAAGGGGAAAGCTTGTAGCAGAGGCTCTGCACAGGAGAACTCTGAGTAAACAAAGCCTGCAGGGCCAGGTGAGTGCTAAGCTCACCCCAGAGATCTGCATAAATAACGCCTCCAGCAACAGCAGGCTGACAGCAGCAGGCAGGCCACAGCTGCAGATACCATTCTCAGAACTGTCTCCAGACTTTTTTTTTTCTTTTCTCCCTACCTTTGATGAGAAACAACCGAATTACACCTGCATGCTGAAAAACTTACTGAAACTGTATTGCATTTGAACTTGGGACACTTGGTGGGGTTTTTTTTGTGTGTGTTGTGTGAGTTTTGTTCTACTTTATGCATCCCCTTTGATGAGACAACTACAGAAAACATCTGAGGCACCATCTCCAGGATTGGAGACTGAGACGGACACCAAATTATTAAGACTGAAACTTCATTGCATTTGAACTTGGAGGTTTTTTTTTTTTTTTTTTTTTTTATTTTTTTTTTTTTTTTTATATTTTTATATATATTTCTTTCATTTACTTATTTTTTATTTTTATTCTTATTTTTTTATTTTTATTTTCAATCCTCTCTCTCTCTAATGTCTGTTCAGCTTACTGTCGATTAGTACACTAAGCTCCCTGTTTATACCTTTGAAACTTTTTGATACCTTGTTCTGTTTTTCCTCTTGTCTGTTTGTTTTTCCTTTTCTTTAACTTCTTGCTTTCCATCTCCTCTCACCCTTCCATTCTAAATATTACCATTGTTATTATTACAAGCTAGAAAATACTTAATTGCACACAGTACAGGGACAGTAACAACACCAAAGACAATGATGGGAAAGACAGAAAAACAGGGAAACCAGTTTCCCCACAGCAAAAAATTAGTACAGGAACCAGAGGGGAATGAAGAAAACAGATACTCAGATCCAGACTCCAACAAAATGAAGATAAACTATGCCAAAGGACCCAATGAAGCCCACAAGAATAATTTAAAAGAAGACATACTACAGTACTCAATGAGAATTTTATAGAGATGATACTGGATAGGGTCAACCAAAATGTACAGGAGACACTCAAGAAATTCCAAGACAACAAAAATAGAGAATTTGAAAAAGCAAAAGAAGAAATAAAGGAAACCATAGAAGCACTGTATAAACACCAAAGTGAAAGAGAACACGATGAATAAACAGATAAATGAACTCAGGACAAAAATAGACAACATTAAAGAGGAAACACCCAGGATATGGAAAACCTCAGAAAAAAGAACGAAACAGAACTGCAAAACAAAACGGAAGGCCAATCCAGCAGAATAGAACAAACAGAAGACAGAATCTCAGAACTTGAAGATGAAATGGTAATTAAAGGAAAAACCGAAGAACTATTAATTAAACAACTCAAGACCTGTGAAAAGAAAATGCAAGAACTCACAACTCATCAAAAGACGCAAACTGAGATCATGGGCATCGAAGAAAAAGAGGTGCAAGTGAAGGGAATGTGTAATAATACTCAATTTATAATGACTAGAAAATTTTCCCAGATCTAGAGTCCATGATATTCCATACAAATCAATGCGGCTCAGCCACCAAACAGACCAGATCCACAAATAGAACTACCCATGACATATCATCATTAAACAAGTTCAGAACTAAGGGAAGATATTGAAGGCTGTAGAGAGCAAAACAAATAACATACAAAGTAAACCCATCAAAACAGCAAAGCAGACTTCTCAACAGAAACATTAAAAGCCAAAGAGCATGGGTGAGATCTTTCCAGGCACTGGAATGAAAATAACTTCAACCCCAGGATTACTCTACCCAGCAAAACTATCATTCAAAATAGATGGAGCAATATAAAAGTCTTCCATGAAGCAGAAACAAAACAATACATGACCAAAAAGCCACCACTACAAAAGATTCTTCAAGGGATTCTGCACACAGAAAGTGAAACAATTAACCATGAAAGGACAGGCAGCACCAAACCACAGGAAAAGAAAAACAAGAAAGTAGAGAGTAACCTCAACTTAGTACACACAATCAAACTTCAAACAACTAAGACAACTAAATGACAGGAATCACCAATACCTCTCAGTACTAACTTAATGTTAACATTAATTCACCCATCAAAAGGCACCGCTTGACGAAATGGATTAAAAGGAAGATCCAACAATTTGTTGCTTACAGGAGACCCATCTCACCACAGAAATAAACATAGGCTTAGGATGAAAGGCTTGGAAGAAGATTTACCAAGCCATGGCCCCCAAAACGCAGGAGAGCAATACTTATCTCTGACAAAGTAGACTTCAAACCTACATTGATCAAACAAGATAAAGAAAGACATTCCATACTAATAAAGGGGAAATAGACCAAAAGGAAAATAATAATTATCAACCTGTATGCACCCAATGTCAAAACGCACCCAATTTCATCAAACATACACCTGAAAGACCTAAAAGCATATATAACTCCCAACACAGTGGTTTGGGAGACTTTAACACCCCATTATATAATAGATAGGTCATCCAACAAAAATCAATAAAGAAATCCAAGAATCTAAAACATATGCAATTGATCAAATGGACCTAGTTGATGTCTACAGAAATTTCATCCAACTTCTACAACAATATACATTCTCTCAGCAGCCCATGAACCCTTCCAAAATAGATCATATCCTAGGGCACAAAGCAAGCTCAGCAAATTAAAAAAAAAATTATAAACCTGTATACTATCTGATCACAATGCCGTAAAAATAGAACTCAAAACAAAAGTAAAGACAAAAAACATGCAAACAGCTGAAACTAAAAACTCATTACTTAATGAACAATGGGTCATTGATGAAATAAAAGAGGAAATTAAAAGTTCCTGGAAGTCAATGAAAATGAAAACACAACCTACTGAACCTATGGGACAAGCAAAGGCAGTCCTGAGAGGAAAGTTTATAGCCATGAGTGCATATATTAAAAAGACTGAAAGATCCCAAATCAATGACTACTGATACATCTCAACTCCTAGAAAAACAAGAACAAGCAAATCCCAAACAAATAGGAGAGAAATAATAAAAATAAGAGCTGAAATCAATGAATGAAACCAAAAACCATACAAAGAATTAATGAAACAAAAAGTTGGTTCTTTGAAAAAATAAACAAGATTGATAGACCCCTGGCAAACCTGACTAAAATGAGAGAAAAAAACCCAAATTAGTAGAATCAGGAATGCAAAAGGGAGATAAAACAAACACCATGGAAGTCCAGGAAATCATCAGAGACTACTTTGAGAACCTATATTCAAATAAATTGAAAATCTTAAAGAAATGGACAGATTTCTAGATACATATGATCATCCAAAACTGAACCAAGAGGAAATTAATCACCTGAATAGATCTATAACACAAAATGAAATGAAGCAGCAATCAAGAGTCTCCCAAAAAGAAAAGTCCAGGACTGATGGATTCTCTGCTGAAATTCTATCAGACCTTTAAAGAAGAACTGATACCAACCTCCTTAAAACTGTTTCCATGAAATAGAAAGGGAAGGAAAACTGCCCAAAACACATTTTATGAAGCCAGTATTACACTTATCCCAAAACCAGGCAAAGACACCTCCAAAAAGGAGAACTATAGGCCAATCTCCTTAATGAACATTGATGCAAAAATCCTCAACAAAATAATGGCAAACCAATTCAACAACATATCAAAAGATTATTCACCACGACCAAGTAGGCTTCATCCCAGGAATGCAGGGGTGGTTCAACATACGAAAATCAATAAATGTAATAAACCACATTAACAGAAGCAAAGACAAAAACCACTTGATCATCTCAATAGATGCAGAAAGTCTTTGATAAGATCCAACACCATTTCATGATAAAAGCTCTAAGAAAACTAGGAACAGAAGGAAAGTACCTCAACATTATAAAAGCTATATAAGACAAACCTACAGCCAGCATTATATTAACGGAGAAAAACTGAAACCATTCCCTCTAAAATCAGGAACCAGACAAGGATGCCCACTATCTCCACTCCTATTCAACATAGTACTGGAATTCCTAGCCAGAGCAATTAGGCAAGAAGAAGGAATAAAAGGAATACAAATAGGTAAAGAAACTGTCAAAATATCCCTATTTGCAGATGACATGATCCTATACCTTAAACCCAAAAAACTCTACTCGAAGCTTCTAGACATCATCAATAGCTATAGCAAGGTAGCAGGATATAAAATCAACATAGAAAAATCATTAGCATTTCTATACACTAACAATGAGCAAACTGAAAAGAATGTATGAAAAAACCATTTTACAATAGCCTCAAAAAAAAATCAAATACTAGGTGTAAACCTAACAAAGAATGTGAATGACCTCTACAAGGAAAACTATAAACTTCTGAAGAAAGAGATTGAGGAAGACTATAGAAAGTGGAGAGATCTCCCATGCTCATGGATTGGTAGAATCAACATAGTAAAAATGTCTATACTCCCAAAAGTAATCTACTGTTTAATGCAATTCCCATCAAAATTCCAATGACATTCATTAAAGAGATTGAAAAATCTACTGTTAAATTTATATGGAAACACAAGAGGCCACGAATAGCCAAGGCAATACTCAGTCAAAGAACAATGCTGGAGGTATCACGATACCTGACTTCAAACTATATTACAAAGCATAACAATAAAAACAGCATGGTACTGGCACAAAAACAGACATGAAGACCAGTGGAACAGAATAGAGGACCCAGATATGAAGCCACACAACTATAACCAACTTGTCTTTGACAAAGGAGCTAAAAATATACGATGAGAAATAGCAGCCTCTTCAACAAAAACTGCTGGGAAAACTGGTTAGCAGTCTGCAAAAAACTGAAACTAGATCCATGTATATCACCCTATACCAAGATTAACTCAAAATGATCAAGGATCTTAATATCAGACCAAACTCTAAAGTTGATACAGGAAAGAGTAGGAAATACTCTGGAGTTAGTAGGTATAGGAAGAACTTTCTCAATGAAACCCAGCAGCACAGCAACTAAGAGATAGCATAGATAAATGGACCTCATAAAACTAAAAAGCTTCTGTTCATCAAAAGAAATGGTCTCTAAACTGAAGAGAACACCCACAGAGTGGGAGAAAATATTTGCCAGCTACATCAGACAAAGGACTGATAACCAGAATATATAGGGAACTTAAAAAACTAAATTCTCCCAAAACTAATGAACCAATAAAGAAATGGGCAAGTGAACTAAACAGAACTTTCTCAAAAGAAGAAATTCAAATGGCCAAAAAACACATGAAAAAATGCTCACCATCTCTAGCAATAAAGGAAATGCAAATTAAAACCACACTAAGATTCCACCTCACCCCTGTTAGAATAGCCATCATTAGCAACACCACCAACAACAGGTGTTGGCGAGGATGTGGGGAAAAAGGAACCCTCTTACACTGTTGGTGGGAATGCTAAACTAGTACAACCACTCTGCGAAAAATATTTGCGAGCTACTTAAAAAGCTGGACATTCGACTCACCATGTTGATCCAGCCAAACCACTCTTGGGGAACATACCCAACAAGAATGTGACACAGGTACTCCAGAGACACCCTGGCACACCCATGTTCTATTGCAGGCACTATCACACCACTAGCCAAATTATGGAAACAGCCAAGATGCCCCACCACTGACGAATGGATTAAAATATGTGTTATCTATCCACAATGGACATTCTATGCAGCCATGAAGAAGGAATGAAATGTTTACATTCTCTAGTAAATGGATGGAATTGGACAACACATTCTGAGTGAGGTTAGCCTGGCCCAAAAGACCAAAAATTGTATTCTCCCTCATATGTGGACATTAGATCAAGGCAAACACAACAAGGGATGGACTTTGAGCACATGATAAAAAGCTAGAGCACACAAGGGAGGGGTGAGGATAGGTAAAGACACCTAAAAAATTAGCTAGCATTTGTTGCCCTTAATGCAGAGTAACTAAAGCAGATACCTTAAAAGCAACTGAGGCCAATAGGAAAATAGGACCAGGAACTAGAGAAAAGATGAGATCAAAAAGAATTAACCTAGAAGGTAACACACACGCACAGGAAATTAATGTGAGTCAACTCCCTGTATAGCTATCCTTATCTCAACCAGCAGAAACACTTGTTCCATCCTATTATTGCTTTTACTCTCTCTTCAACAAAATTAGAGATAAGGGAAAAATAGTTTCTGCCGGGTATCGAGGGGCGGGGGGAGAGGGAGGGGGTGGAGTGGGTGGTAAGGGAGGAGGTGGGGGCCGGGGTAGAAATGACCCAAGCCTTGTATGCACATATGAATAATAAAAACAATAAAAAATAAATAAATAAAATAAAATCTTAGTACATGGGAGGTGGAGGCAGGAGGACCTCGAGTTTGAGGACGTGTGGCTACAGAGTGAGATCCTATACAAAAGAAAAAAAAATTCAAAAACCAACTGAACACACAGTATAAGCACTAACAAGAGACAAAAATCTTCAATACACAAAGTAAGAGCAAGATGACACCAGAAAAAAAAAATTACGCAACTATGAAAATGATCACATAACAATAAGTTCCATGAATTTTGAACTTACTTGGGCACATGGTCTACAAATCACAGGTGGTAAAATTTATTATTGGTTTAATTATTTTCTTTCATCTACCTAACTTCAATGTTTCTATATTCTTACAGATATCATATCCAAAACCTTTTTCAGAAATCAAATAACTAAAGTGTTTGTTGTGATTTTAATAAGATAGATCACACCTACTGGAGATATTTTGTGTGTGTGCATAGTAGGCAAGCATTCTACCACTGAGCTATACCCCAAGCCCAAGATACTCTCATTTTTGTTAGAGGAGCTACAAAGCACTTGCAATAATCTACCATGATATAGAAAAGGTAAAAGTAGCTGTAACTAGAATGTATGGTCCAAAAGAAAAAAGCAAGAAAACCATGCAACTATTAAGGAAAAAGAAAGAGGTATTCAAGAGGTATTTTTAGCTCATAAATCAAAGCAAATAAAATTATGCCACATTTATTTAACATTTATACTTAACAAGGTAAAATTTTGTGTTGGAGGAGTGGCTCAAGTGGGAGAGTGCCTGCCTGGCTAGCAAGTGCAAGAGTCCAAGCTCAAATTTCAGTATTACCAAAAAAAAAAAAAAAAAAAAAAAGTAAAATCTTCCTACATTTAAATTTCCATGAGCAAGATAAATGAAAAATATTACATTATAAAATATGTTGCTAATATTTTATCATCCAGAAAAGAAATTAAAATATATTCATTTCCAAAAAACAATTTTTAGTAATGGTAAAACAGGAACGATCCTACAATGAAGATACTGATTTCCCTAAGTCATATGTGAAATAAATCAAAGTATTACTTTTTTGGCTTTTTGGTGCTGAGTTGAACCCAGTGCGTCACAAATGTTAAGAACGATCTCTACCATAGTTACACTCCTACACCTCAAACTAAGTATTTCTGAGTTTAGGTAATAAACGTTTTATTGGAAATGAGGGAGCTAATACTTCTTTTGCACAATTAATTTTCCTGGTTGAAAGAGCTGATGTTAGATAATGTTTCTGATAAAATCTCTCCTTGATTAACATTTTATACCCACCTCCGTCTACTTTTGCACGTCCTTTATTATAACAATGCACTAACGAATACATATGGAAAATTTCTTATTTAGCTAGAACATAATGATGCAAGAGATAGAAGGTTGAAAAACACTTCCTGTCCATACCTCTCCTGTGTTTGGATTAGCACAGAAAATCTTAGCATCTTTTCCACAGCTCAGTAACAATTCAGGATCTGCCATGCTCCAAGCAATTGCCAAAATTCCCCTATAGAAAACACAATGGAAGGGAAAAAAATCCACAAAGATATGAGGAAATTTTTAATCTTGAGAAAAACAAATTTCAAACTATTTCCGTCTAGGCTTTGGAGACACACTGCTAACAGAAGTACAATTTAACGTAGTCTTTCTAGAAGGCAGTTTAGTAATATGTAAGGTCTCTGATTATTACAAAGACATAGGATGTTTAATATGGTGTAAGTGTATCATAGCAAAAAATGAAAACATATGCCTAATAATGTGGACTATGTAATAATAAACTACAGACTGTCTGTAGTTTTTGCAGTAAGAAACATTGAACCCAGAGCCTTGTACATGTTAGGCAAGTACTCTACCACTTGAGCTATGCCCTGCATCTTTGTTTGTTTGTTTCTATCTATCTATCTACCTATCTATCTATCATCTATGCAACACTGGGAATTGAACTCAGAGTCTTGCACCTGCACCCCACCACTTGAACCATGCTCCCGATCTAAAGATTTATATATATATATATATATATAGCTCTTTGTGTTGCAATCACTTCGATATTTTTGTCTTTAGTGTAACAAAAGTAATTTTTGTAAAAGTTTTGAAAAATCAGACTAGCATAAAGAAAATAAAAAAATCCTGCCAGACACTATGGCTCATGCCTGTAATTCTAGCCACTCAAGATGTGGAGACTGGGAGACTGGGAGACAATCCAGACAAAGAGTTCATGAGACTCCATCTTAATCAATAAAAACTGGGCATGGGGGTGTGCAAATGTCATCTCAGCTACAAGAGAAGCACAAATAGGAAGACCAAGGTCCAGGCCAGCCCAGGCATAGAAGCAAGACCCTGTTGGAAAAATATCTAAAGCAACAACAACCTGATAGTCTGGCTCAAGTGTTAGAGTACCTGTCTTGCAAACACAAGGCCCTGAGTTCAACTCCCCAATACTAACACACAAAAAAAAAAAAAAAAAAAGAAAAAGAAAAATTTCTTGTACCCCATTATCCAGAAAAAGTCACTATTAATATTTTGTCTTTTCTATATTCATCCCTTATCATTCAAAGAGTCTACTAGAAACTAAAATTAAAAGGGGGGAGTGTGATAAACAATTTTGGTCTATATACTATACATCCATAAATAGGAAAGGAAAAAAAAAAGTCCAAAAGTATTGGAAAATACTATACCATTGTAAGTAATTTGTTTCTTGTTTTAAAACACTGGACAAATTTCCATATACTCTCTGGGTACCTCAGAATGGTAGGAAATTTACTAAATTACAAACTAAATTTAATGATACTAAAACTAACATGAGAAAACTCCAGTATCTTTTTAGGGCCTTGATACATTTGTGAAAAACTGAAAGCAGAATAACCTAATTTCTCAAATATATTTGCTTTCTTAGCCAGTTGCTGTTGGCTTACACCTGTAATCTTAGCTATTCAGGAGGCAGAGATCAGAGGACTGCAATTCGAAGCCAGCCCTGGCGAACAGTTCTGTGAGACCCTATCTCGATAAAACCCTGCGCAAAAAAGGGATGGTGGAGTGGCTCAAGGTGTAGGCCCTGAGTTTAAACCCCAATACCACAAAAAAAAAAAAAAAAAAAAAAAAATTGCTTTTAAATCAAAATACAAACTTAGAAGTAAAACAAATTTCCAAATTGCTAACTGACATCAAATTTTATGGAAGACTCTTCTTCACAACTATGATAACCCTAACAAAGGATCAAACTGCATAATAAATTTCAAGGGCTGTCCCAAAGTGTTATGGTACACTGGACATTTGATCTATTAATATTATTTGAAATAACTGGTAAAAAAAGGATTTGTGTTGTTATAGTACGATCTGGCTACCACTTTGGTAAAGAGAAAATCAGATGCCTATTGCTTAAAATAAAAATAAACATCTGTACTGTCTTTTACCAGAAAGAGATAAAGTCGATCCCCTAACTAAAGAAAAAAAAAACCTATCTAAATTCCTCTATAGTATGTGAACTTCCCTGCTCCACATGAAGGTGCTGCAAGAAGTTAACTAAAACTTGCTGCATTAAATAGAAATTTGGATTGAGGTGCCTGAGTCCAACATGTAGAAATTCAGGTTTTCATGTTTGATGGGACGAGTGGAAACTCACTTGCAAAAAATTGGTTCCTGTATGTAGTTTTTTGGGGTGTTTTTGGGGGGGGGTGGTAGTACAGGGGGTTGAACTCACAGTCTTAATGCTTGCTAAAAACTGGCCCCTAAAAAGTAACTTTTTGCTGACAAAACCCAAAGCTTTTCTCCTGTCACCTGAATCCCTGGAACCCTACAGACTAGAAGTGTAGTGGGAAAGCTGTGGCTGACCCATGAGTTCAGAGCCCAAGTGGTAACATGAAGTTTTAAGGTGATATTTTTGTCTAATTCTTCCTTTCTTACCTATGAACCTAAAACTGCTCTATGTAAAATAATAAAGTCACTTAACAATACAGAAAAGGATAAAATTAATAATTTAGTAAATTTAATAAAGATGTTTGAAAAACAAACAAGTAAACAGAAAATTATCTAACCAGGTGTGGTGGCATATGCTTAGGCAACATAGCAAGACACTGTCTCAAAAAAAAAAAAAAAAAAAAGAAAGGAAGAAAAAAGGTCTAATAATGCAAAGTAGTAAGTAAATATGTTTTAGCACATAAGCAAATCAGGTTTCTTGGAACAGGAGCACAATACCTGGCATGGTTTTCCAGGACACGGAGTGGAGAGGAGGCGAATCGAAGATCCCACATCTGGATCACTGGTAACCTATCATCCTCAGAGGCAAGGACCATCTGGGTAGCAACATCAGGATGCCATGCCAACCCAGAGCAATGCATCTACACAGAGTTAAGGCTCACATTTTATCAACTGCATTACAACAGCTCAGGCTTAGTTTTTATCTTTTAAAAAAACAGAAACAAAGCTGGGCACCAGTAGTGCACACCTGTAATCCCAGTTACTTGGGAGGCTGAGATCAGGAAGATCATAGTTCAAGGCAGCCCAAGCAAATAGTTTCTCAAGATCCCCAGCTCCAAAATAACCAGAGCAAAATGGCTTAAGCAACAGAGCCCCTACTTTGTGAGTGCAAAGCCCTGAATTCAAATTCTGGTCCCACAAAAAAAAAGCAACTTACAAACTATGAATTTTATTAAACAGACTTATAAATATGTTTGAACATTTTCAATTCATCTAGCTATTTGATACACTTAAGACAATTCTGGGCCAGGATAACTCTATATTTACTGTCAGTATTGTAACTACAGAAAAGTTTTATACATATTTAAAATATGCTTCCAGAAAATAAAATATTTTAATAGTGGAAAAAGAAATTCCCATACCTTTCCCTACCAGAAAAATAAGGAAAAAAAAGTCTTAAGCAAAACTATCACCTAAATTTTCATAGAAGTTCAGATTCTGTTAAACATTCCAAAAGATGACTAAAATGATTTTTATATGCTTTATGCCATTGAAACTTATATTTTAAACCTTCTGATCCATTTGAAATACAATATTCTGAAGACTATTCTTGAGACAGTTTTTTTTGTTTTGTTTTAAAATTATAGATGTATTCTGACTTAAGCAAACTTGTTTTAGAAAAATCTCAAACTAACCAATATAATAAAAGCAAACAAAATAAATCTCTGTTGTCTAAAAATATTTTTGGTGATACTGAGATTCTGAATTCAGGGCTTTATGCTTCATAGGCTGGCACCCTACTACTTAAGCCACAATCCCAGGCTTCTAAATCTTTAATAATACTTAATGACAAAAAATGTAAAGAATTTGTTAAGGTTGAGATTTTAATGTGTTCTATACCACTGTCTACTGCACATGTGGGAGAAAGATATTAGCTCACTTTGTCAGTACCTAATCAGAGGACGAGATAAAGCTAGGAATTTAGAAATTACAAGTTCACACTCAAAATTTCAAGCAGGAAAAATTCATACAATCCTAGGAAAAGCTAAAGATGAATTAAAAGTTGCCGCAATGCTTTGAAAAGCTAGTTAACCAAAACAATCAGCTCTATTTTCATCATTAATAATATCCACCATGTGTACTGGGAATTTTATTGGTTTCTTTATGCAGGGAAAATACCATTCATTTCAGTATGATTGACCAATGAATTTTTGGTTTATTGTCAACTCTGACAATCAATACAGGAATACATACAACAGAAATACAATACGCTCATCACAAGTCAATCATATACTTACCCTATTACTATGATCACTGACTTTGATGATCGGTTCATTTTTTCTAAGATCCCATACAGTTGCTCGGCCACTAGGACTGGCTGATGCTAAAATATGCTGAACTTGTCTGTTCCATGCAATGCAGCTGGTATCTTCTGGGGGCTATAAGGAATAGACTACTAAAACTTCTCTATTATAGTCAAACTTAATTACAAAATCTACTAAAAAATAATTACACAAAAATGTGATCCCTTTATTCCACAAATTTCTATTACCACATTCCTGACATGTACAATACAGTTTAAACCACAGATATATATGCCACTTCAAAGAATTGTGTCATTCACAAGCATTCTGCTAGTCGATCTGCTAGAAACCAAGCACTAGTTTTTTACTTGCAATTGTTGCAAGGTAGGTCATAGACTACAAAGTAGATACCGGTGAACATAAGCAATAATTAGGCAGGACAACAGTTATAGCCTGGGTTGCTTAAAAAAAAAAAAAAAAAAAAAAGAAAGAAAGAAAAAGCACCTTTATAAACAGTAGACTGTATGTTATCATTATGCTACCTCTAAGGGGGCCAAAATGTTAGCACCAGTTACAATGGCCACTCAAATTGGCCATTATATAACAAACAGAAACTCGAGGAAGACGGAAAGATTTTTTTTTACTAAACTTACTGGAAACATATGGAAAAAATGTATTTTTAAGTAAGGTCGGATGCTGTTAAAAGTACAGAGTAGTTATCACACCAAGAACAAAAATACCATATCTATGAAAACTATTAAAGATTTTTTTGTTGTTGTTGATTTTACTTACTACTCTTTGTTTAGTACAATGAAAAGTGTTGTAAAGTGCTGAAATCAATATTAACTGTTGAAGAACTCAATGATACTTTAAAGTCATAAGTAAGACTTTACTATACTGAAGGAAAATCAAGGTTATCTAAGCACTGATTTATGTGAAAAAAGTTAAAACTGAAATACATAAGTTTAGAACAAAATTAACACTTACCTGAGTTTTGGTTCCTGGTGTCATTGGAGTTACAAAATTGTTTAGATCCCAAATGTAGATTTCAGATTCATTAGCACCAGAGGCTACCAGATTAGTCTGCAATAAGAAGTAATTAAATAGTATTTATGAGTACTTAAGAGAACTCAGAATAACCCAGCTCAGAGTTAGAAAGACATCAGTTTTAGCACAGTTTTTCTATTTTATTAAAAAAAAGAAAAACCACACACACAAGTTCCTAAATAATTATGCATAATTCTTCATCAAAGTTAAAGTTTTTAGAGGCTAGGGATGCAGCTCAGAGGCAGAGTGTTTGCTTAGCAGTGTGAGGCTCTGGATTCAATCCCTTGTGTCACTAAAAGAAAGGAGGGGAGATCTGGGGGTGTGGTTCAAGTGGTAGAGTGCCTGCTTAGCAAGCATAAGCCTTTGAGTTCAAACCCAAGTATGGCAAAAAATAACGAAAAGAAGTTTTTTAGAGAAACATATTATAAAACTATTTAAAAAGAAATTATGTCTGCTGACAACAAAGTAATTTCAGTACAAGATATTACAAAAAAAAGAATAATTATATGGTTAAATTCTTAAGCAATCATGTTACTCATGTAGTGATTTTTTTTTTGTGGCTTTGCATTCGATTGTAGGAGATAAAAACAGGTCACCAATCATTGCTTTCAGAAATAGCTATTACATCTTTCTTAGAATACCTCAAAGCCAGCCTCCAAAGCTAGACCAGTATAAAACTTGAAAAATGTGTTAAACCTTCACATACTTCTAGTTCACATATACTCAATTTTATTTTAGGTAATATTTCTACAGTTTTTTTGCTATAAACCCTTAGGGTCAAAAAATCCCTAAAACTGCGATATAAACTACAAGAATACAATGAGCTTGTAACACTGACCTTCATCCAGTACTATTCACACTCATAAATTCTTATCTGATCAAGTGACATGTAACATGAAAATAGAGGAATTCTATTATAACACACGTATACCAAAATCAGCAGGTGATTAATATACTTCAGACAGGGATTAGCTAGCTAATTTTAAGAGCAGATAACATGAATAGTATAAATGAAGAAGTTTGGATAGCTTTATTTCTATACCCTAAGTATTTATAATATAAAAAGGAACTAAATTAAATTATGATACAAAAAAGAACTAAATTAAAATTTTAATATTCATTTTTTGCTTGTTGCATCTAGTATTCCATTAATTCAAGAACTTTATTAGCCTATGCATTTACATAATTAATATTCAGTAATAAAAACTGGACACGCTTAGGGGAGGTCACTAATGGGAGAGGGAGGGTAAAAGACGGAAGTTAAGAATGTTTGTATGACTGATGTGCTTTCTATACAAGAATGAATACAGAATTTTCAAACCTGTAAGAAGGGGACTAAGGTAGAAAGGAGAAAAATAGAGGGGATGAACCAATTTGGGTTATATACATATACACATGGAAATGTCACAGTGAAACTCTGTATAGCTATTTTATACAAACAAAAATGTCTTTTTTTCAAAAATGGAGAACAGGAAGGTAGTATAGGTCCTGTCTGGGGGCTGGCACCAGTGGGAGCAGGGAGGATATTAGGAAACGGTGTAGGAGGTGAATATGGTGGAAATATGATGTACTCATGTACGAAAATGGGAAAATGAGACCTGCTGAAACTGTTCCAGGAACGCAGGGAGAGGAGATAGAGAATGATGAAGGGGATGAATTCAACTGTGATATATTCTAAGAACTTTTGCAAAAGTCACAATGTACCCACAGTACAATACAAAAAAAGATTTAAAAAAATTCAGTAATGTTTATAGGGTTGACAGAGTCTTAATTGGCTATTTGTTAAATTTGCATTATCTGTGTAAATTCTAATTATTTCATAAAGTAATAAACTTTTTGTCATAAACAAAATTTCTCAGCTAATAAGATGGTGATTTAACTAGACACCATACTATCAGCCTAACCCTGACTTAGCACAAACTTTAAAAGGCAAAGTTTCCAATCTCTGCGGCAACTAATATTTTAAAATGTCCAGCCAGATGGTATGACATTAGACACAGACTTTTATTAGTCTGCTCTTCATGGAATTAGATTATTCACCATGATCTCAACTCTGAACTTACCATGCTCTTTTATTTTGGTAGTACTTGGGTTTGAACTCAAGGCTCCATACTTGCTGGACAGGCACTCTGCCATCTGAGTCACATGTCCAGTCCCACCATTCTTAAAACAAATGTACTCACTCATCAACCCATACAGGCCCACATTTTTTTAGCTTTCAATTCTAAGGCTGAAGCATAACAAAGTTATAAACTTATTTCAAATGAGTAGTACATACTAGAGAATTATAAATGAATGTCAAAGTCAAACCTGGAAAATGTTAACATCCAAGGCTCTCACTGGACCAGTATGCTTGTCATTCTGAGCAATTACAACTTCTTTGTCTCCAGCTATAATTTTTGAAGGATCATAAAGAATAATATTTCCATTTTCTCCACCTGCAATCAGAACTCCAGAGATATCTCCTTTGGAATCTGTCTTATGAGGCCCCCAAATTAACTTGTGGTACCTTTAGGAAAAAAAATGAATAAAATAACTCATTCATGAAATCAAGTAAGTACAGAAAATAATTTAAAATTATACATTTATAATTTCATAAATACTACAAAAATATTGCTCTCCTCCACTTCAGTGAAATGGCATTTTATTTTTTTTACTGTACTCATCTGCATAATTGATTTTGTAATCGCTAAAAAATAAAGATTCTTGTAAGGATAATACAGTATAGCAAACTATACTTATATACCAAAAGATATGGGCTTGAAAATGACTTCATCATTCAGAAACTGTGAGACCCTGGGCCACTTACTTAATCTTCCTAAGTTGCCTTTGTTTCATCTGTAAAATAGAGCTAACCAATCACTGTCCTTGACAAATAGCACATTCCATTTAACCACAGACATATTAACATAGTCTGTTAAACAGTACTGGTGACAGGGGAGTTACCTGAAATTTTCTAAGAAAAATACTGTATTATGACAGTAGGAAGGTGGCATCAAAATTATGTTTGTTACTTCTGGTGGAGAATAAAAGAAATCATGGTCTAGCATGTAGATAAAATATTACAGTGGCATGCAGCTGTATGATGAGACAGATGGGGGAGAAGAAAGTTTCTACACAAAATGTGTCTGGGGTTCCCATCACAGTGCAAAGACTGCAGAGTGTAAGAGACTCTGTGAAACTCTACAATTTGAGCTATATTCTGTTAGCTAAGGTATAATCTCTTTAAAACCTGCTAAAATATTGAGACAACAAAGTTTGTTTTATTACTAAATGAAAGCATTCTTTCCCTACATTATAATACAGAATAAGTACTTAAAAGGGTGATCCAAATACTTTAGTGTATCAGAAATCATGTCAACAAAATTTCTTGCAAAATATATTTCTAAGTATAGATAAGTACAAAGAAAATGAAAATAACCTGCCATTCAGAGATAAACACTATTAACAAAGTGATTAAAATAACTACACCTTTCTCTAGTCATACCTGCATCAACAAGTGAGATATAGGAGATAGAAAAAAGTGCTATACTAAGATGAAAAAAAAATACTAGTTTCTCCTTTCCACTTACACATAAGTCAACAATAAAAGTCAATAGAACACATAAACAGTTCTTTCGCTTCCACAAAAATGCATTTATGTACTTTTTCATAAAACTTCTCATGTCACTGACAGTATTCCTTACAGTTTCTAATAATGACATAATTACAGACAAAAGTGGACACCAACTATAACATATAATAATCACATGAATTTGAGGTTGAACCTCATACCTGTGAGAAGAAGAGAAAGTAGCACAAGATTTCATATCCAAGGATGGATCCGAAAGGTCTAATTCAAATATCTCAAGGGAAGCATTGGTACTAAATGTTGCGTCCAATTGCTGAGCAGATGTTCCTATGGAAAACACATTTATGGTAACTGCACATGCAAAAATAACATTCAGGGAAAACGGTATAAAATAGAAATTATAAGCATACTTTCAATTATCTTGCTCATGAATACAGCATTAGGTCTGAAATCTCAGCACATATGCCACTGCGTACATGCTTAAATTACTATAGCAATGAGATTCTAGCAAAGGACTCAGAGATGTTATTTGTAGGAGTGGATATTGCCAATAAATTTTTTAAGCCTATAGGTATTTTGAAATCTCTCCTTAGAAACAGTCCCATGATGATTTACTGTAATATTTACAGTCATACACAATATTACTCTAAGTCTTTTTAGTCAAAAAATACATGCACAAATTTGCTCTCTATTCATTCAAACTGACTGTATTTTATATGTCATCTATTTGGCTTAATACTGGAGGAATAAAGATAACCAAAATCCCTGTGCAGGAGGAAAACTACTACATATACAACACATTATGATCAACGCTATGATGTTCAAGGTGCTATGTGAACACAGATGAAGACAATGAACTCAGCTGACAAGGAGAATGGAGGTATCTTGCTGGAGGAAAAGAGACTTTTGAAGCTTGAAATCAATCAATTTTTTTTTTTTTTGTGGTCTGAACTCAGGACCTTGCACTTGAACTGAATCTTTAAAAAAAAAAAAGTATGAGTAAGCTGGATGTAGAAGAAATGGGTTACTCATTCTATCTTCTCCCTTTGAACTTACCTGTGGCTAGGTAAATGGGGTGGTTCTGGGCAGGGCTCCATGCCTGCATGGCCGTACGATCTATTTCCTTTAACTTCATCCTGCTGAACAACATTTTACAGAGAAATATATCAAACATGTAACTAGAATACAAAAACATATTTTACATAGAAACATAGTGGACAAACCATTTAAACATTAGCAATGCCCAACTACCAATAATTCAAACAGACTTAGGTGCCATTTGTTGGAAATGCTCAATATTAAACTTGGGCTGGAGATATAGCTCCAGAGGTAGAGCACTTGCCTAGCATGTGCAAAGCCCTGGGTTCAATCCCTCGTACCACCACCACCAAAAGAGAGGAAAAAAAAGGGGGAGGGGCTACTGTAATTCTTTACAGATTTATACAGGTTGACTTCCCCTTATCCAAAATGTCTGGAGTGAGAAGTGTTTCAGATTTCAGAGCTTATGTGATTTTGAAATATCTTTATAGACTTCAATGATTGAGCATCACTAGCCAGAAAATCTGAAATGCTCCAAAATCTCAAACTTTCCAGATTTTTGGATAAGAGATGCTTAACCTATAGTCCTTTGGTTGAAAATGCAGCCTGGAAAAATATGCCACAAAAACAATACAGGAAGCCAGGTGTGGTGGCTCACACCTGTAATCCCAGCTACTTGGGAGGCAGAGATCAGGAGGATCGTGGTTTGAGACCAGCCCAGGCAAAAAAGTTACTGAAATCCCATTTCAACAAGCAAGCTAGGCAGTTGTGCACACGTGTAATCCTCACTAAAAGAGAAGCACAGGCAGGAAGATAGTGATGGGAGGCTAGCCTGGGCAAAACTGCAAGACACTATATGAAAAATAACTAAAGCAAAAAGGGGTGGAGACGCGTCTGGAGTGGTATAGTGCTTTCCTAGCAAGCAGCAAGGCCCAGAGTTCACCACTGACAAAACAAAACAACACTGGGTGGAATCTGAGGAATTAACTTCCTGTGTGCTTTTCAAAAAAGAATGGGCAACAGTGTATCATGGGTATTAGAAGCTGCACAATAAACAAGATGCATCTTCCTGGAATTGGAGTACTTGAAAAGAGAAGTTTTAAACACTAGTTTTAAACCAGGCATGGGTAGTACACACCCTGTAATACCAGCACTTGGGAAGTGGAGGCAGAAGGACCAAAACTTCAAGGTCAGCCTGGGCTACATAACAAGACCCGGTCTCAAAAATATCTAATATTTTAAAATTTTAAGTTAGAACAGAGAACATAGTAAAACCACAGATTTTAAAGATGAAGTGGAGATGTTTAGAAAATTAGTCACTTCAAACTATAGTCACATAGCACTTATTTATATATTCCCATTAAAGTTACTTTGGGGAAAAATTCAGGAGATAATTGTACTATGCATTTTTTTCAAATCTTTGATATTTTTACATAATTTCACAAAGCATAGTATTCCATTGTAATATATATCACAATTTAATTATGTAGTCCAATACTGATGAACACCTAAACTCAATTTGCTAATTTTTACAAATAATGCTGAAATAAATGTTCATATGTACATGTTATTTTATTCATGCAGAGGGTTGACCATAAATTTCCAGAAGTAAAATTGCTAGATTAAAATATAAATGCAATTCTATTTTTATGAATATTACCAAGTTGTCTTCTATGGCAACTGAATCTTTTCATACCTTAAGTAATATATGATTTGCTGCTACCCTAAAGCTTTACCAGAGGAAATGTCACACTTGTAGATGTTTACCAACAGGTAAAAAAAAAATGTTGGCTCTAAATGCAAATTAGTTTAATTTCGCATTTCTCATTCTTAAATGTATGGTGGCATGTCTTTGTATGATTATGAGTCATCCATAGTCCCCTTTCTGTCACTTTTCCTGCCTATCCATATTTTTTGCCCATTTTTTTCCTTTTCTGATTTTCATCAGTTTATTTTGGGGAGTTTTTTGTGTGCGTGCTGGGGATTGAACTGGGGCCTTGTACTACCATTGAGCAACCTTCCTAGCCCCCAATTTAAAAAAAAATTACATTGTAAATTTAACCTTTTGAATTTGATTATATTTATATGTATGTGCTTCTATGTGTGTACATAAACATATATATATATATTTACCTCCCATAGATTTTTTGACATTTTAAACATAGACTTTATGTTCTAGGGCCGTTTTAGGTTCACAGAGAAACTAAGAAAAATACACAGCTGCCACAGTTGCCCCATCTCCCCCATTCAGCCTTCCGCACCACATCCAGGTACATTTGTTTTAATCCATGAACCAACAGTAACACATCATTACCCAGTCCACAGTCTATATTAGGACTCACACTTGGTACTGTACACTTTGTAGGTTTTGGCAACCATGATTTATATTCATCATTATAGCATCCTAACTTAAAGTCTGTGTTTTGCCTATTAATTTCTCCCTCTCCTATAAAGTGAGTTTTTGTGAAATGTTCATAGGGCCTAAAAACAAGGCGTGCTCTCTGATTTTCAGAGTTCAGAATTCTATATATGTTAACCAAATCTACTTTTATTGTCTAAATCATTTGGGTCTTTTATAACCTTATTTTCCATCCTACTGATTTGTCTTGAACCAGAGCAAGGAATCAAGTCTCCTACTAGTAATGTATTAATGTGTTTGTATCTATTTTCCTGATATTTACTAAAACTTCTGCTTTAGTAAAGTTATTTTGTTATTTAATAAGTAGTTATCTGGCACATATTTACAATGTTAAATATCTAGTCAAATATATATCTTAACTTTATTTAGCATCCTTGTCTCAAATAATGCCTTTTAGCTTGAATAAATACAACCTCATCTCATAGTAAGATCAATACACCAGCTTTTTTTTTAGACAAGGTATTGCTATTTGCCCCTCTGGTCTTGAACTCTAAGCTCAGTTACCCTTCTGCTTCAGCCTTCTGAACACTGGGACCACAGATGTGCACTACTACCACACCGGCTTTCTAGCTTTTCTAAAATCCACTTTTCACGCGCACTCTTGCCCTTTCCAACTTTGAACCACTTTGATTTCACTGTCCTGAATATAGCAAAAACATCAGATTGTTTGATCATCCAATCTGAAATCTTTTTAATAGGTTAGCTTAAACCACTTAAAATCTGATATGAAACATATGGTTAGTCACAATCTATCACATTTTGCTGTTTAGCTTTACAATTTTTTTAAAAATCACTATTATCTATTGTCTTTTTGTGTAGTTAACATTGTTTATATTTTTGTTCTGTTTCCGGTTCTATCTTTATAATCTTAAATAATGTTATTTACTATCACTACCCTCTTATTTTTTATACAACTACTGAATCCCTACTAGTAGCACTAATGAAATTCGCTTGTAAAACCTCACTGCCCCTCTTGCACCACACAGTATTAGTCAACAATACTATCTTTCTTGGTGTTTACCTTTACAGTGCTAAATATGCTTATACTTGTACTAACTGGTTTGTCACCTTTAAATGATATCCTTTGACTCCCAGATATTATATATTTGGCAATCCACGAACTTCTTTACCTTGTTTTTTTCCACTTCTCTTTTGTTTAGTTACGTAGACAAATGCCTACATACTGGACATTTAACATTTATGTGTCATTCTTTCCTCTTTATACCCATTTTTGTTTCAGTTTCAGGCCTGTAGTTAAATACTCAATGCTCTGCACTATACTACTGTAGTTTTTTTGCTCACCTTTAGAGGATTAAGTTCATCTTACAACAGTCCCTAAAAGGGTCTTCGACTAACACTTTGCCTTTGAGTTTTATACATTCAAATTGCTTCTATTTGAAGATTTTACAGATGATAAAGACACAGAAAGTTAATTATACATGCTAGCAAGAGGCAGAGCCAAGACCTGAATTCAAAAGTTTAGCTCCAAAGCCCAACTTACTAATTACTTCCAAGTTGGTATTCAATTTTTTATCACAGAAAAAAATAATATTTAGGAGAAACAATTAATGGCAATAATCACACACAATGAAGTTCTGAGGACAAGAAATGCACTTTACAAAGGGCCAGGTTAGAGGAAGGTGGGAGTATATTACAGGTTTGGTGAAAGGCTCTATTACTTACTAGCTATGATACCTGGACACATTATGTACTTCTGAGCCCCAGTTTCTTTATTTGTAAAATGGACAGAATGAGTCTATGTGATGGGATGGTTGGTTTAAAGGAGATAATATGTTTTAAAATAGAAAGTCAAACAAAGTGTCTAGCACATGAGTTAGTATTTTGATATGCTACCCCTTTAAAAAATATTACTTGCTATTGAGAAAACTTCATACCTAATATTATTCTGGGGGGAAATGCAATTTTCTAATAAGCAAAAACAGGACCTATTTCTTATAAGTACCTTCTTTTCTTCTTGGCCAAGTGACTTAATCTTTAACAGTAAGTTCAAGCTCATTCCTGAAAACTGCCCTGATGATCCAATCCACACTGACCCAAGTATTTGTTCCTATTTGTCAGTAACACACACTTTAGGCATCGTAAAATAAAATGCCATCCTACTTTAATTAAATACTTAATGGTATCTGACTAGCATACATTGCTTATATATTTTCCAACTAGCTTTTTTACAAACTTTTATGTGCCATCTTGTCAATTTTCGACCAGGTGTTACAACTTTTATCACTTTTGAATCAAAACTGCTTAACAATGCAGTAGGTATATACAAAGTTTTGATTCTGAATGCCCACACTTAAAAATATATAATATTGATGAGCTAGAACAACCAGTTTTAGATAAAACACTTAACTTTTACATTCTAAACCGTTTAGAGGAACTTTACATATTTAAAAATAGGGGAAAGAATTGCTAGGGGAAAAAGTTTATGATTTCAGAATAATTTTTACTTTCTTTTATTTTACTGGGGTTTGGACTCAGGGCCTTGTGCTTGCCAGACAGGTGCTCTACGACTTGAGCCACACTCCCAGCCCCAGAATAATTTCTAAAAATGGAAAACAAAATTGCCGTATTAAAAAAAAAAAAAAAAAAAACTGGCTAGAATTACAGTATCTCTACCAGCAAAGGTACAAGGGCTACCTAATTAGTGAGTGTTCAGTTAATGTGTAACACAGAGACAAATTCACAAGAACATGGCATGGTTAAGTGGAAATTCAAGCATTTACAAGTTTTATTTCTTAGTGCTAGCACTACATGTTCTAGAAGTAATTCTACTTGTTAACCTGCAGTGAGTAGAAGGCTTCAGTGCCATCTGTACAAAAAGAACGACGCTAAACTACATCAATGGCTTAGAACTATGTAAGGAGGTCTGATCACAATTAAAGAAGAGTACCATAATCTACAAACTGCAATCACTCTCAAAATAAAAGTGCTATGGAAATACAGCTTCATTGGATCCATGTGTATTTCCTTTTAGAAGGAAATTAAATGATCACTCATTTAATTGCAACTAATTTTGTTGAAAATACAGAGGGCTTAGATAAAACCATGTACGCTCCCCAAGAAAGACATGCTTTAAAGTGTAATTCTTTCAATATTACATGTGATTGGAATTCACACTAAGCATAATTGTGAAAGATCATTTCACACAGAACGTAATCATTATAAAAATAGAAAACAAAAATTAGGAGGACAGTGGCTTGTTCATATATGCCATCTGTAAAACACTAAGTCTAGCCCAGTAGTTAGAGTAGCTGGTCTGGAGCACATACCATAAATTTAAATCCCAGCTTCACCTTGTCATGTAACTTTACCTGTGTATCTTGGCTCCTTTCCCAGTAAAATAAAGACAGTAACAGTTATAAACACCATACCTTGTAAAAATTACATAAGTTAGAGGGCTTAGAACAGTACCTGGCACATAGTTAATCAGTGTTCATAAATGACAACTATTCTCAAAAAAAAAAATCACAATTTAAAAAGTCCATCTCAATGAATTTTCAAGAACACATCTGAGGAAATTTATGTTCCTTACTTTTTCACCCAACTTTCCACAATAATTGCATTCAATTAAGTGGAAACCTTTTTTGTTGTTTCTGTTCATTTCCAAACTGCCAATTTTGTGTAGCAACACTAAAACCCCACAGCACTATTCATTGAAAAATACCAACCTTAAGATGCTATATATAGAGCTAACCCATGCATACCTCAGAAAGTGGAAATCAAAAATGGACTCTGCACCTTTACTTCCAAACTAGGAACACAATCCCTTGCTGGCACTCCCTTTAGTACAAACCCATCTGGTTTGGGCAAAATATCTCATTAAGGAAGAGAGCATTTGTTCTGCAGGTTTAACTCAGTATTGTCAATGTTGTAGGTTCATCTCAAACAAACCCAAAGCAAAGAAAGAACTGTGCACTGGTAACAACTAAATGGTTTTACTAATCTGCAAAATGATAAAACTGTATTAACCTACTAAGAATGGCAGCCCTTCTAAACACAATATAAAAATCAATTTAGTACTATCACTTTACAAGGATTTAACCTGGGATTTGTAAAACTCATGAAATTACACAGAAAATTCTGCATCTGTGCATGCCTGTTTTTCTAGGAAGATGATCCAATGCGTTCAATTAGATTCTAAAAAGGGAGTGGAATCTCAAGATTGATAATCACTGCAGTTTACAAATGTCTTTTTCTTATACGTTAGTCTCAGAAAAGAACTTGGTTATAGAAAATTAAGCAACATAATCCAAAACTCATCTCAAATTTCTCAACTTCCCAAATAACAGTGAATGTCTGTAACATAAATTCACAACTACAAAGGCATTGTAAGTTACCCCAAAGTTTCTAAAGCCTACAAACTTTTCCCAGAGCTGTAATAAGGCATAAAGAAAAACAAGGAGCACGTAAGAACCACGAGAAAAGGAGCGTAAACTTCGGCCAACTCATGAATAATCCGGACGGAAGGAAAACGAGGATACTGTGATACAAGGACGAGCTTCTAACTATTGATTAAAAAGTTACTACTGCGAACTAAGACAACCAATTTTCAGTTTTCTGTACTTAAAGGAAAGATTTGTCACACACATCGTATCACTGCAATTTCAAAAAAGACCTATGTAAAACTAGTTCTCCGATCTCACAGAAAAGTTTATAACGCCCCCAAGTCCAGGCAGTATTTGATATATTTTACAATATACACAACTTAACTTCTTACAACTTATTAGCAACACTATGCGATACTTAGGGACGCTTCCTTCGAAGTATAGGCTGCAGTTGGCAACTATTGTCCTTAAAATTATCTAACGTTAGCTAAATGATAGTAGCCTTCGGTTCCAACCTATGAACCTTTAAATATGGCAACGGTTCAAAGACAAACAAACACACCCCAACCAAACTCCTGTCAAGAGAATAACCCTGGGGTCCGTTCCCTTCCTCGCCCTTGGGGATCGCATCTCTTTGTGCCCAGGTCTCAAGGTCTCCTAACCTCTAGCTCCAGGTACCAGCCCGGCGGCGACGCCCGGCCCGACACCGTGTAGTGAGCCTGCGGTAAGCTGGGGCTCAGCGCTGCAAACGTCGGCGGATGGCGACGGACGCGATCACCGAACGAGTCCCGACGCCAGGCGTTGTCCCGCGGGGCCCAAAGACCAGGGGCGCGCCGTCACCAGAGGCCGGGCCGCAGCCTAGCTGGCCAGCGAAGAGCAAGCCCGGCGTCTCAGCGTTGGCCCGGGCTCCACCGGAAGGCCCCACAGTCGACGAAGAGGGCGGGAGGCGGACACGCCTGACGGGGACTCTCGGCAACCGGTTCTGCGTTAGCGCGGCGCCCGTCGGACTCTCCCGGGATTCGCCGCCACCCCTCCTCCGGCCCCGGGCCACCTCCACGTTCCGCTCCAACGTGGCAGCCGCAGCCCCGCCCTGCCGGCCGACACTTCCGGGTGCGACGTCCTGCCCCGCCCACCCGGGTGCACTGCCCGCCTCAGCACTTCCGGGAGCCGCGCGGGCGGGGGAGCGGTTGGGGGCGCGTGGGTTACGGACCCTGTTCTCAGGCACGGCGCGCAGGGTGCAGGCGCGGATCAAGGAAAAGTCCTGCTGGGCGTTGCCGAGTGCCTGAAGGACGGGCCGCCACGTAGCACTAGTCCTGTGAGGCGTCAGCAGCCCCTGGCGACATTGCCAGCACCAAACCTCGCGAAAATCGGGCTGCACGAACCTTGCTGCAGCTGGGACCGGGTTCTTTAAATTGTTTAGTCTAGTTTTGCGTTTCAAGAACTATGAAACCAAACGATGTTGTCACACCCGAAGGCTTGTGTGGACATACTTGACATGACTCCAGAGAGCGTGGATGTGGTGTTTAATTCCAGAAAGTAACCTTTAACACTTCAGCTCCTATTAGCACTCGCAAATCCCTAACCTGAAAGCCCGACTTTTTTGAGCGTGGCTGTTTTAGGTTTGGGATGGTCAAATCCCCAAATCCAAAAAATTCTTTTTTATAAATTTGTATTATGATATATTCATCATATGGGGGGATTCGTAGTGACAATTTCAATTATAACTTATATTGTACATTATTTACATTTCCCCCATCATCTCTCCCCCTCAATCCCCTCCCCACGCCACTTCCAAAAACTTCCCAAATCCTCTGGTTCCAACTGTTTCAAGATAGTACCTTACTAGTTTCCTCAGATCCTGGAGTCTTAGATATGTTGCTTACATGTACTTTTACTTTGGACAAGTTTTTTTTTTTTTTTTTGCTTATTTTATTATTAGTTGTACAAGGGATTCACTGTGACATTTCTGTATATGCTTACACTGCACCTTGGTTAGGTTTGCCCCTTCATCTTTCCCTCATTCCCTCCCACAAAACTATTACAAAAGCTTTCACTGCTCTGTAAGTATATAAAGTTCCCATCCCCTCACAGGACCTGTTTTCCAGTCCCGCCCCTCATTTTTTAGGTCCATATTTATTGTTCAAAAGGGTTTATTTCAGCTGTGAGTATACTGTACTTTGGTCAAGTTAACCAAGCCCTTTTATTGCTCTCCCTTAACCTTTCTCTCCTACCCCCTATAATTCAACAGCTTTCAGTACATCTCCTTATGGCACCTACCTAGGTAGATGTATTTCAATATTGTTGGATACATTGTTGATGCAACGTATTTCAGTATTGGTGACTTTCTCTTCTCCTCCCCCTAGTCCCATGCAATAGTCCACTATTATAAACATGTTGTATATATATAAATGTGCATATGAGCATGTTTCTGTGTATGCATTCGTCTTTTGGATCTACATGAGAAAACACACATTCTGAATCTAGCTTATCAGTTAACATGATGTACTCCATTTAGCAAAGTCAAGCCAGTGGAGAATCACTTACTGTAAAGGACCAAACCTGGACTCAACCCGTTTTAACTCAGAGGAACTCCTGCTTTTTAGGCAGGCACTCTAGCACTTGAGCTAGGCCTCCAGGCCTAAACAAGTTATCTTCATATATCATCCAAAGCCAACTCATTCTTAACCTCTTTCCTAGCCACCTGAAGTAGAGTATTTCTTGTACACAGAAAGCTGTGGTGATACAAGCATTGAACCCCTGCACTCAGGAAGATCAAGTTTTGAGGTGAGCTTTTAGCTTGGTGGTGAGGCTCTTACCTAGCATGCACAAGACTCTGGGTTTGACTTCAGCACCACAGGGTAGGGAAAAAAGTACTATTTAAGTACTAGAAAGAAGAAATACTTTTGTACTGGCTACACACCCTTTTAAGTGTCCTACATACATCGTTCATATAAAAACCAAATTTATTTCTATAAGCTTGAAACACATTGGCTCAAACAAATTACTAGTTTACTGTGGCAAACTTAAATGTTTTTCAATGTTTTCCATTGTAATTTATGGCAACAAGATTTACCTATAGAAGTGCCAACAAAAACTCCAACTTTTAAAAACAGGACCACATTTGAGCCAAAGGATGGTAACTTCCAACTTTTCTCCCGTGTTGCATTCCAAGAGTCCCTGCTACTTGGATGTGTACATTGGCATGGAAAAAAAAAAATTAGAACTGCTTTCTTCCAAAAATACAATAATTTAAACAAGTCAGCAAACTCTAAACTTTTCCCCCTGCCCAACTCCAGGCCCTAAGAACTAAATCCTTGGGGGGGAAAGTACAAAAGAAAAATATTTCATTTGAAAATTATATGAAATTCAGATCTCAGTGTCTGTATATAAAAAATCACTGGAACACATTCACACTCAATGGTTACATACTGTCTATTGCTGCTTTAGCTAAGAACAGAATTCATGTGGTCAAGGCCTAAAATATTTACAAGACCCTTTACAGGAAAAAAATTTGTCAATCTGTTACGAGTTTTACTTACAAATGATAAAATACAAGTATAAGAAATTAAAATATAAATTTTTATTTCAAGGCACTCAGTAACATAAAGCAGTATGAAAAGTAAAATTATAACTGTTCTAAAGACAATTCATGGATGTTTCACATTTGGTTAAAAAAAGATGAAGATTCCCTATCTTGTTTTGAATGCAGGCAGTCCTAGCATTGACCACATAAGCAGAAACCACAGGGCAATCTTTTGTTTTGGCAGTACTGGGGTTTGAACTCAGTTCTTCATGCTTGCTAGGCAGGTGCTGTACCACTTGAGCCACTCTGCCAGCCCTTTTTGTGTTAGGTATTTTTGACATAGGTTCTCACCAACTATTTGAACTGCGATCCACCTGATGTCTGCCTCCTGAATAGCTAGGATTACAGGTGTGAGCCACTGGCACCTAGCAGCAATCTTTACCTACAGGAAAAGGATTGTTCTATGATCTTAAAATTTTTCACAAAACTAACACTTGTTGGTTACAAATATATTTAAAAAAATTTTTAACAACATACATGATTTAGTACACTATAATTCTAAATATTAGAAACTGGCAAGTATTGTCTTTGTAATTTATTAAGAATCCGTGAACAGTACTGACTTTTCTGTGATATTACTTACAGAAAGCATCTTTTCTGTGTCTTGTCAAATTACCCTACTCCTGAATTTGGATGAGCTACCAAAATTTTATCCTTTGTGCTTTTAATGCCTCCTTTAATGTGGTTTTTGCTGGTATCATTCTCTGAGGTTTCTTCATCTTTTATGTCACCACTTCTCTCATTTATGCCAACAGATTTGTGAGATGGTTAATCTTAATTGTTAACTTGGTTGGATGGAGAATCACCTTGATTAGTAAATCAGACCATTGGGTGTATCTGCAAGGGAGTTTCCAGAGGTTTAACAAAGGTAGGAAGACCCATGTGAATGCAGGCAGCACAATCCCAAAGGTAGGGGACCAGGTGGAATATAAAAGGAAAGAAGAGCCAATCAGCACAGGGATCCTCTCTTTACTTCCTGGCCACCATGTAAACTGCTTTGAAACGACCTTGCCTCTTGAATAGCAGCAGTGTCAATATTCCCAAAGTCGACCATGTCTTCTATAGCACTATACTGAATCCTGCAGTTTCTTACACAGTACAGGCTTGAACAATTGTGCAAAGCAAGAACTGCCTATATCTTGGAATCTGAGTGCAAACTTCACAGTAGCGTCCTCCTCTGGGCTTGCAGCTTCACCAGACAGCTTAGTACTAATCAGTCCCTGCTGATTTTTTCTGGTGGTGGTACTCTACTGCTTAAGCCATGCCTCCAGCACACATGCCAACTTCTTACATAGCCTTTACTGGCAGTAGTATGTTCATTTTTAGTTTCTTTGTAATTAGCACTTTCTTTCAATGCAGCAATAAATACCAATGCTCTGGAAAACCAGAAGTTTGCTTTTGATTATAATCTTCAATCCAAAGTAGAAGTAAATATTCCATTTCAACAGAAAGCCGTAAGTGATGCTCTGTTCCTAGCACAATTTAAGCTAAAATACACTGACATTATCTGTAATGCTTAATAATGTAAAAATAAACAAAAGGGGGAAAAAAGATGTTGAATTTTTTTTTTTTTAAAAAGGTAAAGTTGCTTCATCAGACTCTTTCAATATTGTTCATAACTAGAGATTCCTGCAGGCCTCGCTTCTGACCTATCTTTTGCCTTGTGGTCACCATTTTCTAATCTAATCACATCCAATTTTACTTCCAAGATTGTAATTTTTTTTTGTTTCTTTGCCACTTTGTTGGTCAATTTCTTCTCTGGATGATCACTTTTCGTAAATTGTCACATTGAGATTAATCTCTGGAAGACAAGGAGGCAACAAAACTATGTACCCTGGTGGTTTGTAAACTAAAATCCAACAGCAAAGTTTATATAACTAGTTGCAGTTAATAATTATGGCAACTGAAATTTTAACTATGTTCTTGGACTGGTATTATTTAAACTGTGGTAAATAGATAAGCATGCACACTGGAAAATTGCAGAGAGGACTATTTGTACCTTAAAAAAAAAAAAGCAACATATTAGTTCAATGAAGTAGTCTACTTTTTTTTCTCTCAGAGAATGTTCATTTTCAAGACAATGAATTACTCACTGGAGCCAGAAGAATGTTTGGAACTAATTTAATGAAGAAAACATCAAATTGGGATTTCGAGACAGGCCAAAGATTCTCAAAATGCATTCTTTTAAGAAATTTGACCCCCTTTCTCATTCCAATAGTACTGAAGTCTGGAAAGGGTAAGGTTTTGCACAAAACCTTACATAGCACAAGATTACGGTATGCTACGCAGTTTGTTCTATAATAGCTGGTGCCAAGTTACGTATCAGCAAAATAGCATAGTTTAACATAGTTAAAAAACATTAACATAGTTTGTTAATGTTTTAGCTTTGCTGTTTTTTTATAATTTCCTAAATATTTTAAGGGCTATAAAAAGTTTAAATCAGCTTTTAAGTTTGTATAAATTTAAGAAGAAATTAGTATGACTCATAAATGGGATATAATCAAATTTGAAAAATGTCTATAACTAATGACAGACTTGTTATCAGATTTTAAATTCCCAGCTTCCCACCATTTTTTCTATTTAGGAATCATGATTTCTAAGAATTTTGAGGTCTGAAAGCATTACATCATTATTTCTAAGAGAAGATAACCATCTGAAGTTCCTTCTTCAGTTGTCTTTCCTAAACCAAATCTATTTATTTTTTTGGTGGTACTAGGGTTTGAACTCAGGTGCACTACCACTTGAGCCGTGCCTCCAGTCCTTAAATCTATTAATTTCACAGTTATCTTTGGAACCATATTTTTTACTTTTGAAAGCTGAAGAGAGTAAGGAAAACATGTCAGAATACAGATCAACTTTATGTTCAGGCTTACGTTCAGATCTGATCTTTTCTGCATTTTTTTTATAAAAACTAACGTTCGCCGATGGGCACGGTTGCTTACAGACATGTAATTACAGCTATTTGGGAGACTGGGGAGGGAGGACTGTGAGTTCATGTCCAGTCTAGGCAACATTTAAAACTTTTTCTCAAAAAAAAACAAAAACAAAAACAAAAAACACCTTTACCTTATTATGTAACTCTTCAACTTCTTGATCAAATAAATCTGACAAATGATGCTCTAAGAAAAACACCCTTGTTTTATGCCTATAAGGAAAAACAATCAGACAAGCAAATCAATACTGAAATTTTATTAATATTCAAGTCTCATGATTTTCTTTTTCTATGTCCTCATCCACATACATTAATCACAACAAATCATGATGTGAACAGCAGTGGAAAAGTTTAATCATTGGACATTTTTATTTTTTATTATTTTAAAGCTCTATTCATAATTTTTTTTCATTGCTTAGTCCTTTAAAACACACATAGCAAGTACATATTTCTGTAAGTTTCAATTCTCTAATATAGAACAGTTAAGACCTCCAATTTTACTGATTGGAAAAAACTAACAAAGATTATTGCAAGTATGCCATATCTACTTAATACAGACAATCTCAAGTTATTTTAGGGTATCTTCTCAACATCAAACTGCTTACTCTTTGCCTGTTTGTAGTGCTTTTACAGGCAAGAGGTTTCCAAGAACTAATACTTTAAAGGAAAAAGGGGAGAGTTTTATTTAACAAGAAATTTGAGAATAATGATGAAAAGAAAAGCTGACTCAAAAAAACAAAAAACAAAAAACAAAAAACAAATCTCAGGCACCAATTAGTATCTACCATAGGGGACATTCTGATTGCTCATTAAGAGGGGAAGAAGTATGGGGAGCGGATTACGAGAAGCCTTGAGAACTTGACATAAGCATAGTTGTGCTCAGTGATCTATATGCTGAGTTTGGCATAGCCTCAACCACAAAGGAGAGTGAGAAGGCAAAATGCAGCACAGCTGTTTTTCCTAAATTGTTTCCTTCAGAGAAGTAGGAATGCAGGTTTCTCCTGTTGCAATGTCACGCCCCTCCTTGTTTACCACTGGATTTAAAAGACTTACTGAAGGAGGAAGCCAGGTTTTTGGATAGAAGGTTTTTTGAAAGGGGATGGACTGATTGGTGGGCTGCTTGCGAGAAGGATGCTGTTTGTAGAGTGCTGAGTTATGCTAGATTAAAGGGAATATGGGACAGTGCAAGTCTGCACTGAGAACTTTATACATAGGCTTTAGAAAAGCTAAGCTAAAGAGAACACAGGACAGTGCAAGTCTAAGGACCGAGACTTTAAGAGTTATGCATATGCAGTTTTTAGACACGGCTGCTGTTGTTTGTCTGCAAGTCTGAGGACAAAGACTTTAAGAGAGATTAAAGGGAACATGGGACAGTGTGAGTCTAAGGAAAGAGACTTTAAAGAACAGCAAAGATTTTAGAAGTAAGGCCTTAAAGAATAGAGAAGAATAGAAGCAATGAGGCTGCTGTGCATCTCCATCAAGTGACCAGCACACCTGGCCCCAACTTTATGCATGTTTGTCCTTTCTGCATCTCCCGTTGCCCCCAGTTAGCCCAGTTAGGTCGGTAGTAAGAGGAGCAAAAGAAAGCTCACTCCAAATAAGTCCATACAGAGAAAAAAGCAAGAAAAAGACAAAGAAGAAAAAAAGTGTTTAGTAAAGCATACTCATCATATATTTGACAAAAATCAAACTTTGGGGGAAAAAGATCAAAGTACTTCTAAGATATTGTGTATGTACCTTTATTCTATGCTCTAGAAAAAAATTACATTAACTGCATATAAGTAATGATATTTCTTGGACAACTCTGAACAGAAAGTTTTACCTTGCCGGTTACTGGTAGCTCACGCCTCTAATCCTAGCTACTTGCGAGGCTGAAACCAGCAAGATTAGTGAGGCCAGCTTGAGCAAAAAGTAAGCAAGACTCCATCTCAACCAAGAGATGGGCACAGTAGTACACTCTTGTCATCCCAAAGTATGTTAGAGGCTGAAATCAGGATTGATGTTTCAGGTCAGCCCAGACCAAAAAACTTTTCCAGACCCCATCTCAATGGGAAAAAGCAAGGCATGAGTCTGTCATCCCAGGGACACTGGAAAGCATAAAATAGGAAGATCAAGGTCCAGGCTAGCATAGGCCAAAAGCGAGTCTCTATCTCCAAAATAACCAGCATTAAAAGGGCTGGAAGTTTAGCTAAGTGGTAGAGTGTCCGTCTAGTAAACACAAAGCCCTGAGTTCAAATTCCAGTACTGCCCCCAAAAAAGCTTAACCTTTCTAAGTTAGTGCCACCCCAGCAAAATACTAGGATTTAGGGGTACCCAATTTCTAGTTATAGTGTAGTTCCAATTACATTCTCCTACTACCTTCACCTAGGAATTAGCAAAAGGCTCCAAGAAAAAGATACACAACACACGTAGAGTAGAAAATGAATTTTCTTTTAAGTGTTCTAGAAACTTTCAAAAGGAACATCACTTCAGTTATACAAAGAGGGAGTGGGCAAGAAAGAAAGCATGTACCTTAGAAAGAAATCGTATACCTTAGAAAATCATGTACCTTATTTGGATATACATGCTGTAACACTCCTACTTTACTTGAGTCAAACTAAATCCTTTGATGCAATAAATTGAAACTGTTCTTTAAAAAACAGTCATCAGTTGATAGCAAATCTCCAAGGTAATCCCCTACCTCCTGGTACTTATACCCTGTGTACCCTCCCCTACAACGTGCCAGGATTGGTCTTTGTAAATAAAAGAATAACATATTATTCCCAGACCAGCATGTAAAAAGTAAACCTGTGTTTTGGCTTTTATTCTCTTGGATCTTTCCCTCTACGGGAAAGCCAGCTGTTAAGTGAATACACCCAGCCTATGAAGAAGTTCACATGGCAAAGAACTAAATTGTTCAGGTAACAGCCAGCAAGGAACTGAGGCTTGCCAAGTGAGAGTCTGGAAGGATGCCCATTATCACCAAAAGTCAAGTCATCAGTGGACTCATAGGATCACCTTGAGCCAGTTCCATTCTAATTTATCCCCAAATTCCTGACTGTGAGATAGCATTTGTTGTTTTGAACTATTTAAGATCAACTAACATAGCAGGTCAATTCATATTCACATCCACAAAGCAAAATGTACAACTTATGAATTAAATGAAAAGATTCAGAACTGTCTAAAGCTAGTAACCAAAATTTAAAACCCCAAGGCTTTCTAAAGCAACAACTAGAGAAAATTCAAATGATGAAAAACTTGACAAGAATGCCAGTCGCTTACAGCAGGACAAGACATGGGTTGTGGTAGAACTAGCCAACAATCTGACAAAAGGATAAATGCTCAACAAGTTACCAGTCCTAGAATGCAAAACGTCTATGTCTCCCTTTGTAAGGTTATAGTGAGAAATAAACTTTGTCTAAAACAAACACAACTCTCTCTTTTTACTTGGACAAACCTCCATTTCCAAGTCACAGTTACAGTTCCAGTAATACTTAATACATTTAGAACAAAGATACACTACCTTTCCTACATATTTCAGACTATCTTCCAAGATCCACATATCTTTTCCAGATGCCTCCAAGTGTATAATTCCTGAAAAAAGAGGTATTTTTAAATCACTTTATGCATGGTCAATGCCTTTTGCAATAGCACTATCTTTGGTAAAGCTTACATATCCTCATTTAAGTATTCAATAATCACAACAGTTCATTATGTGAACAGCAGTGAAAAGATTTAATCATTGGATATGAAGTTACTGAAGTAAATAAAAATATAAACAAATGATCAAACTGAGATCCTCAATATCACCAATAAAACCAAGTAAATAGCAACAAAAAACCACAAAAGATTGCATTACATACTTCTTTATACTGAAGTACTCTACGAGTGATCTAGAGCAGTGTAAAGTGTAAAGCTTTAATTTGTAACTAATAATTAGAAGTTGTCAGATGGAATACAATTAGGCAGGGAAGAAAGGACAATTCAAAATGCTGAACTGGCTCCCTCCCTAGCTGCAACAGCTTCTCTAACTGGCCCTCAGCAGGTTACACTTCTTCTGAACCCATTAACCTAAAGCTCCACCTCCATGGTAGGATTACAGCGCCTATCAGCCACTCTGGCTCTTTAAATATCCCCTATGGCTGTCTCCCTTAAGTGGGATAGGAAGGCATAAAAATACTTCAGTTACTAACCTTTTTTAAAAATTTAGTGATAACTTGCATAGATTGTTAACAGTCTGCCCTAACTCTAATCAGCACTCTACTTTCAAATGCGTAATCTTGCTTAACATTTTTTTCCAAGAATGCATACGATAGCAAAAATGCATGTGCCAAGGACTGAAATTCATCTTGACGCTGCCTCCAACTCAAGGAGCACCTCTAATAGGTTTCCCACAAACTTTTTGATTCGTTAACAAGTGCCAACTACAATAACATTCACCTCACACTTGTGAAAATGTGACAAAATAGGAACCTCATCCACTACTGGTAAGGAAGGTAAAATGATGTAGTCATGTCAGAACAGCCTGGCAGATGCTCATGAAGTTAAACAGTTACCATATGACCCAGCAATTCCAATTAGGTGTATGATAAAGAGAAATAAAAACTTAGGTCCACAAAAGCTTATACACTAATGTTCACATTATCATTATTCCTAATAGCCAAAAGTTGTTAACCCAAACGTGTAACTGATGAATAGAGAAATAAAATGTAGGTACATACATACAATGGAATACAATTCTGCAATAAAAAGAAATTGTTATAACATGAATTCTGAAAACATTCTGCTATGTGGGAAAAAAAAAAATCACAAAACTATATGCAAATTAGTTGTTTCCAGCGATTGTATGGAAGAGGGAACAGCTTAGAATCTTTTTAGGATGATGATGAAAATGTTCTAAAATTGGCCAGGCCTTGTACTTTCCAGAGATGGGAGGCTAACTTGTGCCCTAGTTTTAAGACCAGCCTGGGCATTGTAGCAAGATCCCAGATAAAACTGTTACGAAAATATGACAACCAATGTTTTCCTTAAAGACAACTGAAAACAATAATGTTATTACTAATAGCCTAATTCGGGTCTTAATTGAGTACTAGAAAAGGAATAGTCCAACTACCTGATAGTATTTTAACTCATCTCAACCTCTGCTATGTATCTCCTACATAAAACAGCCAAGCAAGCATTTGTCCTGCACATCTCTCAGCGTCCATGTGACTTTTAAGAAAACATAAGCAAAAGTTCTGTTAACGTCACTCAGGTAAGATATAAGCACATTAAAATGTAAAGTAGGTGTGAGTAACACCTTGACATGAATCTTTTAGACTGGAATCTAGAGAAAATAAAAAGGGGGAAAGGAAGCAATCTTGTTAGGTATGGAAGTTTGGAATTACGTCAGCTAGAGAAAGAAATTTTAAAAAGTTACAAACACTTCTGTTTTCTAAGTGGCCTCCAACACTATGCAGGAGAAAGAAAGCCACTTAGTCTATAGCCTAACTTATGCCTATAGTCTAAGCTGGCTCGTTTTCTTGCACAGTGGTGGAAATCTCACGTTGTAAAAATAAGACACTGTTCTAAAATCTTCTCAATCCTAAGAGCTACCCCGACCACGACCACTTGACTGCTCCGTGCTCCCCTCGCCCGCCTCTCTATTACCGCAGCTGACCAGCCAGGCCCCAACGCGCCGGAGGACTCCGCGCTTACCGCGTTTGCTCGTGCCCCTCACGGTGGCAGAAAAGGGGTCCGATGAACTAAGACTCGGCGCATCCTCATCCGAGCCCCTCTGGAATCACACACGCCAACGCTCGTACAGTGCCCCGGCCTCCGAGAGCTACAAGAGAAATGGCAAGGAAACGACTCGCATCTCCCGCCGCTGCCCTCCCATTTCCAGGGCACTGTTCCATCCCCCTCTGGTCCCTTCCTCGCCCGGTCTCCAGTCCATTCTAGAGACCGCGCTCGGAGACCCATCCGCAAGCCCTGCGGTCACCTCACTTAGGGACCCGCCTCCCAGCTTCGCATGCTCAGGCTCGGCCCCACAAAAAGAGCGATGAAGCCGGATTGAGCCCTAGCAAGGACAGAAACAAAAGAAGGAAGACACTGCAACACCATTATCCACCCTGCAACCGCGAGAAGGCGCGTCTTAATGCTCCAGGCCTTCCTGACTGGCTGCTGAGACACGATCTGGCCTGCGATTGGTTAGCGGCGTCAAGCGCTGCGCCTATGGAGAGACGAGGAGGAAGTCCCGCGCCTATAAAGCCCGCCTCCAAAAAATAAAGGTTGGAGCCGCCGAGACCCGACAAAGAAAACTTATTATAAGTCAAGCTACCGTAGACGCTTGAGCGTAGTGCCTCACGTAACAAGAAGGCCCGAAATTGCTTTGCAGTGGGCTGCAGGACCTGAGACACCGAGCTGAGCCGAGCGCGGCCTCTCCACCAGAGCACGTGAGGGAAGCCACGGGAGCCACCACGTTCTTAGAGGGCGGGGCAAGCTGAACCCGGAGGTGGGCGTGGCCTGGCGGTACGTCGTGACGTAGACGCAACATGCACGCAACGTGGGGCGGGGAGTGGTACTGGACAAACTAGCAAGTAGGGGTCTTTGCTCGCCGTCGGCCGTGTTTACCTCCACGTTGCGGGTATTTTTCCTGCTGACCACGGTTGCCTAGTGGCGTTAAAGTGAGGTTACTCAAAAGGGATCTTGCTAGCTGTTGGTGGTCTTGTCATTTAAAGGGATGATCAGAGCCGATGTGGCGGTCCACGTCTCCAATCCTAGCATTTGGAAGGCGGGGCAGCAGAATCCCGAGTTCTAGGCCAACCTGTGCTACATTGCGAGACCCCCCCCCCCCGGCCTCCCGTGGAAAGAAAATGAGGAAAACGGAAGGGAGGGCAGTTGGATGAACTGTTTTAGACCGCCTGCGCTCCTTCGTAGTGAGGTGGTGGTTGCCTGAACTGCCTGACATTGCAAATTGTTGAGTATTAGAACTCTACAAGGCTGTCGATTTTGGCTGAATCTAGTCGTAGCAAGGAAGTTTCATGTGACCCAGGAGTGGGGCAGAATTTCAAACCAATCCACTCTGAACTCAAATTTATGATCCTGATTGGTATAGGTCATTCAAATCAATGTTGAAGGCATGCTGGGAAATAGAAAAGTGGGTAAAATAGATTCTCAGAGTGATACTCCCAAAGAAGCAGCCTGTTAAGATACAAATAAGATGTAGAGAGAAGTGGAAAGCATTTTTATGAAAAAAGGAAAAAAGAGTTTCAGGAGTGAGGAGGGTAGCATCTAAGTAGGAATACCGTGGGAAAAGGTAGAGATGGGAAATGCAGATACGTGGTAGAGGAGTGGAGACGAATTACAAGGATTTCGATTCCACTGAAAGAATCTCCACTGTGTGCTGATTCCTCTATCTGTGCTCTTTTAATTGTATGAGTTTTTCGGGATGGCGGGGAGGGGGGTGGCAGGGTTGACCAGGGCCTTGCAGGTGCTAGACAATCACTCTGCCAATAAAGCATGTTGAGGTATATTCCTAGTGTTTTTTTGTTTTGGTTTGGTTTCGTTTGGTTTGGTTTTTTGTAGTACTGAAGTTTGAACTCACGGCCTAGTGCAAGTGCTCTACCCACTTGAGCTATGTCCCCAAGTGCTTTTTGCTTTTAGTTTGTTTTTCAGATAGGGTCTCATGCATTTGCTTGTGATCTTCTTTATAGCTGGGACTACAGGCTTAAGCCACCATACCTGGCCCTTACTTCCACTTTTAAACACAGATACCATAAGCTCAAGAGCCTGTGGCATCATTGCATTACCGTCTCTTTTCTTTGTAAATAGACTCCTCAAACACAGGAGCAACCACCTACATCCTTAATGCCCCATTGGCTTTTCAACTTACACTCGCCAGGTATATGTGACCACTGCTCTAGTGACACAGTACTGACAGTCCCCAAGAACTTTGCTGAGTATAAATGAGCACTTTGCAGTGCTCTTGAGCTGTTTTTAGCTTTTAATCATATTGGGCGCTCCTTGAAACTCTCCCCATCCTTGTAGTCTACTTGGGTTCTTCCAACCTGATTTCTTTCCCCTTCATTCCATTTTCCTGATTCCTGGCAGCAGTATTCCTAAAATGCAGATTTTTTTTTTTTATCATACTTCTTCCCTGAAGGAAGAATTTTAATTCCTTGGGGTTCTTCAATTTTGTAAAGACAGAATCCAGGTTTTTCTGTGCAGTCTCTCCTCATCCACCCTTTCCCAATCTGAATTACATTCCTTCTATGTGTTTTTTTGTGGTGCTTGGGATAGAACCCAGAGCTCAGTTCATGCTAGGCAAGCACTGTACCACAAGCACTGTACCACTGAACTACATCTCCAGCTACCCCCCCCCAGGTATTTCTGTTACTGTACATGTACATTGAATGAACCTGCCTATGAATGACAAGGAAGCATGTTTGTCATCCTGACACCTAAGAAGTTGTAAGGAGAGAGTAGAGACAGGAAAAAGTCAGAACACAACTGGGGTAATCCTAGGAACAAGGTAATAAAGGTCTGTAGTGAGGGCTCAGCAAAAAAGGTAATGGAAGGCGAGAATAATCAGTTTACCTACAGTGGGCATTTTCAAACTTTTTGATCATGGAGCTCTCTTCCTAAAAAAAAAAAAAACCCTGATTTATATGTATAGTAATTATTCAGCTACATATATGAAGTACTGTATTAATGTATACTACAACAAAAATTAAAGGATGGGGCAAAAGTTTAGAAAAATAAATTCTAATGTTTAAATCTCAATAGTTGCCCTCCTGCAGAGTTATTACACATTCCTGGGAGGGTGAGCTAATTCTTTTGATGTCTGTGTGGAGGACTGGCTGAATAGCAATCCTCCAAGTAATTTTAACAGATTATCTTAGCCAAAAAGAAAAACCAGATATTGAGCCTTAAAACCCTCCAATCAAACAAATGAAAGCCAAACAGAATTAAAATATATCAGTTTAAATGCCCACAACTAAAATGTGAATTCACCAAGAAAACAAAACAAACATGAGCTCAAAAAAGCTGCTGCAAATAACTCTAGGGACTCCAAAACAGAATTGGCACTTCCTGTTCTTAAGCAAACAACATATTTCCTATTATACCTGGGTTTTTGTTTTTTAAGCTTAATGTTTGCACAAACTGGTGTGAAAAGCGCAAAGAACCCTAAATTCTCTGTCAAACGGTTTTGTAAACCCCAAAATTTTTCCACAAGCTGGCTATAAAAGCCACAGATGACAAGGAAATGAAAGAAGAACAAGGTCCAGTGTGCACAACTGGCAAGAATTTACCAGGAAAACAAACTTTGGACCCACAGATTTCAAAAGTTCATTTTTCCATTTTTTTCTGCCATAGGTGGTGAAGGGCCACCAACACTGTGCAGCTTCTTCTTTCATTTCCTTGTTGTTTGCACCTTTTTTTTTTTTTTTTGGTGATAACTGAGTATTGAACTCAGTGCCTCCCACTTGCTAGGCAAGCACTGTACCACTTGAGCCACACCCCCAGTTCTGCTAGAGTTATTTTTCAGATAGGGTCTTGTGCTTTTGCTGGGTGAACTTAGACCATGATCCTCCCACCTTCTCTCACATAGCTGGGATGACATATGTCTTATACTACAGCTTGCTTTTGAGCTAAAGTCTGACTTTTTGCCCAAGCTGGCCTCCAGCTGCGGGTACTCCTCCCTCTACCGTCTGAGTAGCTGGGATAACAGACATGTGCCACCATGCCAAGCGTGTGATGGGGTTCTTGAACCATTTGTCTGACAAGGAAATTTGGCCTTGACATTGTGTCATGGTTTCAGGAAGTAAAGCCAGGATCAGTGAGCCACAAGCAAAAGATGTCATCAGAAACTATCTGTGTGTCATCTGCCAAGTTCTGTTACCAGCGCCCTTGGCCATAAAGCCTGGCTCTTGGTCCAAACGCTCACCTGCATTTAGAGAAAATGACATAATATACACAGAGATGGGAAAATGAATTAATTTACAGTTTTATCAAAACAAGTGAGAGAAAAATTCTTAGTCTGTTTGCACCTTGTCTATAACCCTGTAACAACTGGCAAGCCATGTGGACATGTAGATAGTCTTCTGTTGGAAGGTGAGGGTTCTGCATAGGACCCTTGTGGGTGGCCCATTTTCACTGCTTGCATAGTATTTCCTGGAGGAATCCTAGTTCCTGGGGCACCTGTTGTATAAGCTGCCTGGTGAACTCCTGTGGAAGCTTCAGCACCCACTGAGCCTTCCCCAGTTTCACCCAGCACCATCGCCAGAGTTGGGAAAGCAGTGTAACAGTGAAGGACATAGGACAGGAGCATATTCTAGTCATCAAAATGACTCAGAGGTGTGGAGACTTGCTGCATGATCATTGGTGCTGTGTCAGAAGCATAAATTGCTGAATGTGAAGTAGAACTGGCACTTTAAAAATTTAAAAATTAAGGTGACCATTTAACTCATGCTCTAACTCATTCTCTTTTTGCTGTGTCAAAAAAGAGATTAAGATACTTATTTCATGACCAAAGAAATATATGTATGATAATTTGGAAAAGTATTTTGCCTTCATTGTTAAAATGACTTCTATTTTTAAACCTTACTGACAAGAAGAAAATGAGACTTAACAAGCACCTGTTAACATTTTGTCTTGTTTCAGATTTTCCTTTTCCTATATAGAATATAACTAAATTACACGTCTAGGTAAACTTCATTCCTCAATCCCTTTTTCTCCTTCCCCAGAGGCACCCATTGTACAGGAGGTTTGTTAGCCACTTTTTTGGAAAAGATTTGATGTGCTGGGGCCAAAGATAAATTTCCATAAGAAATATAAAAGAGGAAAAAGAGAATTATTCCATTACATTATAAGCAAATTTGTTGTGTACATGAGGTGATAATTGGTTTAGGATTTTTCTTCCACTAGAGGAAAGTACATGACATGAATTCCAATTTCAATTCACTGTTTACTATTGTCTATACTTGGTGCTGGTTTTGGTTTTCTCCTCTGTAAGGTAATAAAAACCTGTCTTGAAGAGTTTTTATAAGACTAAAACAGTCTTTAAGACATCTCTATCTATATCTCTCTATATATTATGTATTTTAATTCTAGTGGTTCTTGCAATATACAAATATAGATCTATAATATAATAAGGTAAATGCTTTAAAAGTAGAATTACTTATTACTGCCAATTTAATTATATCCCAAATCCAAATTTGTTCATCATGCTGATTAAATGACAGAATTTTCTAACCTTTCTCATGGCGTTCTCCATGTAGAAAGTACTTGAGTAATGCTAACTGGAAGCTTTGCATTGGGAATAAAACCAGTGATGTAACTTGGTAGACCAGCCAACTTCTGATGATTCCTTGCATGCTATGAGATGATACCCAATCCGTGGAAAAGCTGCTTTGCAAACAGGTGCCATTAGTTCAGAAAAGAACTCAGTGAAAAGCAGTGGAATTGTTTCACCTTTATTGGAAAAACAATTCCCTGTTTGTTCTTTCTTGATCAAATATCATTGTCCTCCTAGAATAGTAAAATGATGCCCTGAAAATGGAATTAGTTCTTCCTAGGACAAAACAGGTTTTGGATAGCAATTTTCAGTTTATGCAGTGCTTCTGAATGCAGGTGTAGCCTCATGTACAGCCCTGTGAGAAAGCTGGGAGATGGAGGGATGTGTCTAATCCCATACAGCTGACAAATGTCTTGAAGGCTTAAATAAACGCAGGCTTTCCAATCCCCTGTTCTTTCTGAAAGTAATTATGAGTATCTCAGAGTTATTTTTGACCATGCCTGCCCACTGAATTATTTCTGTAATTAATTGATGCATTTTGAACTACCTGAAATTCTCTTTTCAAACCACATATATTTAATTTGTATGTGATAAATTGACCTGCTTTCATGCTTTTTGTGTAAAATCAGTAATAGCTACAATTTATTGAGACTAAGATGGTCTAGGTATCATACTATGGTTACATAAATTATTATATCCTCAGAACAGCCCTGTATTACTTACATTTTATAGGTAAGGACACAAGGCATTGCAGTTTAAATGACAACTAATAAGTTAGGGCACTAGGATTCAAATCCAGGCCAGTTTTACTTTCAGAGCCCTTGCGCTATCTACTATGCCATCTCTTTTTGCATAAGTAACTTCCCTGTCCCCTCCATTACACTATGTTATTGCTTCTTCAAAGAACTACAGAAAACTCACTTCCAGAGCGCTTTCCTAAATTACTTCCTCCTTTCTATAGTTCTGAAATTCATTTCAGAAACTTTCAGTATCACATTATTATTTCTGTTTAAAGGCATGTACTATGAACTCTGTAAAATACCTTAAACTCTGCTCATAGCAGACTACACATTTAAAACACTTCAGAGCTTATGACCCTTCTTTCATATCTAACTTCCCATAGCAACCAGATGAGTGCTTTGTATCCAGTAGTATTTTTTATAGATCATCTCCTGTATGATGATTTCTAAAATAATCTTAGTTTTATATTTCTTTCACAGGTTCCTGAAGGTGTATTCCTTAAAATTAAAGCAAGACAAAACCTAAAACAGTCATTTCCAGATAATTCTCAAGAAGTTGCTGCAGAGATGCTGAGAAACTCACTGAGGTGCAACAACTGTTACAAGTGTCTAAAGAAAGGCTTACCTCTGCCAAAAACGACAGGATAACCAAGAAGAGAAAGGGTTTACAATTAATTGATGCACATGAAGAAGAAAAAGTACTCATGAAGAAACACAGTGTGCTATGATCAAAGTTTTCAAGTATTTTACCCAATAACCTGTACAGTTTACAAAACAGCTTTTTATTTTTCTGAACAATCACTAAGTATTTACTTTGCCATTACTTAGAAAAACATGCTTTTATCTGGAACATGAAGAGTCTCAGCAGGAAAAGGAAAAAGAATGAAAAATAATCATCAAAGTTCTTTCATATTTCATGATTTTCCAATTATAAAAGTAATATGTTTATGATAGGAAAAGCAAAGAAATGTTTAAATGATAAAATTAATGCACAATCCCACTACCCAGAAAAAAGTCATGTGGTTTATACAAGTTTCCCTACCTTTCACTTTATGATAGCTCTGACCCATGCTGCTACAAATTCTTTGTAGACGATTTTAATTGCTACATAATTTATTCCAAAGTCTTGTTGCAATAGAGTTGAAATACATAATTTGCAAAATCTCTTTGAGCTTGGAAATTTTATCAGTCTCCAATTTTTTTCTAAAATCTATGGCATAGATATGTAAATCCATATTTAAAAAATACTTGCCAGGTGCCAGTGGCTCATGCCTATAATCCTAACTACTAAGGAGGCAGAGATCAGGAGTATAGTTGTTCAAAGCCAGCCTGGGCAGATAGTTCGAGAGACCCTATCTTGAAAAACCCTTCACACACATACACACACAAAAAAAAATTTTAAAAAAAGAGTGCTGATGAAGTGGTTCAAGGTGAAGGCCCTGAATTCAAGCCCCAGTAGCACAAGGGAAAAAAAAAAACTTAAGTCTTTATGTAATCCTGGGAAAAGGGCATAATAAGAATTGCCAATTTATTCTTTGATAAAACAGCGAAGATTTTGGATTTATGTTCTAGAAAAGAGAAACAAATCCTGTTTCTAGAAAAAGTAGTTACTTTGGGCGGTAATGGCAGGAGCCCCGCAGGAACAGAGGACTTTCTCTCTCAGTGAGAGGCAAAATGGTCTATTTAATCTGAGTGGTACCCTATCCCCAGAAATGTTTCTAATACCACATTTTCACTTCCAGATCAAGAGTAACCAGGAAACAAAGTAAAACAAAAATTGTCCTCTTAATTCAGAGAGTTAATTTGGTTAGGATATTTCATTTTCTTCTGTGTTCCTCTGAAACTTTCTAGTAAAGCTGAAAATGAATAAAATATGATTCAAGTTGAAACTTTTTCCTTCCCTGTCTTTAGTGAATGATCCAAGATGATCAAGGCTTATTGGTCATGGGACCCTAATTCACTCTTTTTTTTTTTTTTTTTTTTTTTTAGGTTCTATGATTTTTTATTGTTGTTTTAGTGCTAAAGATTGAACCCAGGGCTTTACATGTACTAAGTACATGCTCTACTACTGGGCTACACTCCCCAGCCCCTATTCTATCTGATTTCTAAAAAGAAAGAATTATCCTGCCTATGTATAACTTAATATTTTTTTCTTGTTTTACTTACAGACTGTCAAGATCTCTACTTAGAGCAGTGGGAATCTTTGTGGAACATTGGGCAAGAGCTTTGCCATTGGCTGGTCAAGAAGGAGGAGGCAGAATGTCTGCATTGTTACACCATAGAGTTCAAACTTCAGAAACCTTTGGGTTAAGCAGTATCACTTACCCTGCAAATGATCATGCCTTTATCTGTACTCTCTGATCATCACAAACTAATGAAACACGCTTTAGGTCTCATGAATTCAGGCGACACTGTTCTCCAGATGCCCTGGTGGCTGATTCAGGTAAGATTAGGGTGAGTTTTGTGGGGAATGTCATTGCTGAAGTTAAACATCTGTGCATGTAAAGATTAGGCTAACTAACTCCAGTCATTATATAGAACGGATTAAATGTGGAGAGATACTGATGTTTGCAATAGGATTTTTAAAAATGTACAGAGATATAAAAAGCAAAGTTTCCTTCACTTTTATTTCATTCGAGGGTTTAAGTTTGTTTTGTGATATGATTTGAAAAATGTTGGATAGCTTCTTTTTACATTTTGCTTTTTAAATATCATACATGGTTTTAACTTTGTGCTTGTGTGAATGTCTACTCATGCTGATGGGCTTATCTTTCTAGGGCCTGTGAAAAATGGAACCAAATTCTTTGAGGACTAAAGTCCCAGCTTTTTTATCTGACTTGGGAAAGGCCACATTGAGGGGAATCAGAAAGTGTCCCCGATGTGGCACATACAATGGAACCCGGGGCCTGAGCTGTAAGAACAAAACATGTGGAACCATATTCCGCTACGGTGCACGGAAGCAGCCTAGTGTTGAAGCTGTCAAAATCATCACAGGCTCTGATCTGCAGGTCTACTCTGTGCGGCAAAGGGACCGGGGTCCTGATTACCGATGTTTTGTGGAGCTGGGTGTTTCAGAGACGACAATCCAGACGGTGGATGGGACAATCATCACTCAGCTGAGCTCTGGACGGTGTTATGTCCCCTCGTGCTTGAAAGCTGCCACCCAAGGCGTTGTGGAAAACCAGTGCCAGCACATCAAGCTGGCAGTAAACTGTCAGTTGGAAGCCACTCCTCTGACCCTGAAGAGTTCAGTCCTGAATGCCATGCAGGCCTCTGCAGAAACCAAACAGACCATCTGGCAGTTGGCCACAGACCCCACGGGTCCCCTGGTACAGAGGATTACTAAAAATATCTTGGTAGTAAAATGCAAGGCAAGCCAGAAGCATACCTTGGGGTATTTGCATACATCTTTTGTGCAGAAAATCAGTGCCAAAAGTTTGCCAGAGCGCCGCTTCTTCTGCTCCTGCCAGAGTTTGAAATCACACAAGTCAAGTGCCTCCAGGGATGAGGCAGCTCAGAGATGCATTCATTTCTTTGCATGCATCTGTGCCTTTGCCAGTGACGAGACATTGGCTCAGGAATTCTCAGACTTCCTAAATTTTGATTCCAGTGGTAGGTGGTACAGTTGACACAGTTACTTTGTTTTTCTGAAATTACAATGAGTTTCACTGATATATTTGGAGATTGTGATAATCTAGATGATAAGTATTATTCATTTGCCAGAGCTCTTACTACTGGGGATTGGGCCTGGAGTTGGGCAAGTGCTCTTATCATTTGAGCCCCGCCTCCACCCCCTCAGACCTTTGGTTTTTTTTTTTTTTGTTTTTTGGGCTTTTTTTTTTGGTGGTGGTATTGGGGTTTGAACTCAGGGATTCGTGGTTGCTAAGAAAGCACTCTACCACTTGAGATATACCTTGTTTTTATTTTTGAGACAGACTGTTACTAACTTTGCCTGAGCTGGGCTCCAACTCGTGATCCTCCTGCCTCTGTCTTTCAAGCACCTTAGATGATGGAATTACAAGTGTGCACCATAATGCCTGGCAGCATTTCTTCTTTTTTTTTTTTTTTGGTGTGTTCTAGGGTTTGAGCTCAGCCTCAAGATTACTAGGTGTGAACTTTACCACTTGAGCCACTCCACCAGCCTACATTCCTTCTTTTAATCCCAGTCAGTATACTTGCATAAATGTTGGTTAGTTAGTTGGTTAATTGCTTAGATGGTTGAAATTAATAATGAAGAAACTTGGACAGGTCTGGGGGTGTTGCTGGCCCAGCAATTGCAAGACCCTTGGTTCAATCCCTGGTTCCACAAAAAAAGAGAGAGGGACTTGGGCATTGGATCTAGCAAAATTAGCTTTACTTTGATTTTTTTTTTTTTAATTCCAAAGATGGACTGTGTTAACAAGAGCAAAGAACAACAACAAAAAAATGTCTCTTCTTATGACTTGCTTACTTATTAACCCTGAAGATGAGGGTACTTTGCTCAAAAGAAGACTTAAAAGTGCCCTACCATTTGAGCCATTCTGGCAACACCATATTTTTATCTTATAGATATTTCTTTACTTTCTTTTTTTTTTTTTTTTTTTTGCAGTGCTGGGTCTTGAACTCAGGGCCTACACCTTGAGCCACTCCACCAGTCCTTTTTTGTGATGTGTTTTTTTTGAGATAGGGTCTCTGGAACTATTTGCCCAGGCTGGGTTCAAACCGCTATCCTCCTGATCTCTGAGGATTTGAGTAGCTAAGATTGTAGATGTGACTCTCCAGCCCATGCCTTTTTTTTTTTTTTTTTAAAGGAGGAAAGTTTTATTTTTGCTTATAGTTTCACAGGTTCCGATCCGTGAGTAGTTGGTCCTTTTTTTTTTAATTAAAAAAAATTTTTTTTTATTAGGACATAGTCATAGTGACAGTCTGATTAGGCTTATATTGTGTATTGGTTAGATCACCCTTATTTTCATTTCTGAATGGTCTTTAGGTGGCAATAGCTCCCAACTTTTTAGTTTTTTTTTTTTTTTTTTTTTTATTTTATTTTATTTTTTATTTATTTTTTTTATTTCATTTTTCTTTTATTATTCATATGTGCATACAAGGCTTGGTTCATTTCTCCCCCTGCCCCACCCCTCCCTTACCACCCACTCCCCCCTCCTCTCCCCCCCTCAATACCCAGCAGAAACTATTTTGCCCTTATCTCTAATTTTGTTGTAGAGAGAGTATAAGCAGTAATAGGAAGGAACAAGGGGTTTTGCTGGTTGAGATAAGGATAGCTATACAGGGCATTGACTCACATTGATTTCCTGTGCGTGGGTGTTACCTTCTAGGTTAATTCTTTTTAATCTAACCTTTTCTCTAGTTCCTGGTCCCCTTTTCCTATTGGCCTCAGTTGCTTTAAGGTATCTGCTTTAGTTTCTCTGCATTAAGGGCAACAAATGCTAGCTAGTTTTTTAGGTGTCTTACCTATCCTCACCCCTCCCTTGTGTGCTCTCGCTTTTATCATGTGCTCATAGTCCAATCCCTTGTTGTGTTTGCCCTTGATCTAATGTCCACATATGAGGGAGAACATACGATTTTTGGTCTTTTGGCCAGGCTAACCTCACTCAGAATGATGTTCTCCAATTCCATCCATTTACCAGCGAATGATAACATTTCGTTCTTCTTCATGGCTGCATAAAATTCCATTGTGTATAGATACCACATTTTCTTAATCCATTCGTCAGTGCTGGGGCATCTTGGCTGTTTCCATAACTTGGCTATTGTGAATAGTGCCGCAATAAACATGGATGTGCAGGTGCCTCTGGAGTAACAGTCTTTTGGGTATATCCCCAAGAGTGGTATTGCTGGATCAAATGGTAGATCGATGTCCAGCTTTTTAAGTAGCCTCCAAATTTTTTTCCAGAGTGGTTGTACTAGTCTACATTCCCACCAACAGTGTAAGAGGGTTCCTTTTTCCCCGCATCCTCGCCAACACCTGTTGTTGGTGGTGTTGCTGATGATGGCTATTCTAACAGGGGTGAGGTGGAATCTTAGTGTGGTTTTAATTTGCATTTCCTTTATTGCTAGAGATGGTGAGCATTTTTTCATGTGTTTTTGGCCATTTGAATTTCTTCTTTTGAGAAAGTTCTGTTTAGTTCACTTGCCCATTTCTTTATTGGTTCATTAGTTTTGGGAGAATTTAGTTTTTTAAGTTCCCTGTATATTCTGGTTATCAGTCCTTTGTCTGATGTATAGTTGGCAAATATTTTCTCCCACTCTGTGGGTGTTCTCTTCAGTTTAGAGACCATTTCTTTTGATGAACAGAAGCTTTTTAGTTTTATGAGGTCCCATTTATCTATGCTATCTCTTAGTTGCTGTGCTGCTGGGGTTTCATTGAGAAAGTTCTTACCTATACCTACTAACTCCAGAGTATTTCCTACTCTTTCTTGTATCAACTTAAGAGTTTGGGGTCTGATATTAAGATCCTTGATCCATTTTGAGTTAATCTTGGTATAGGGTGATATACATGGATCTAGTTTCAGTTTTTTGCAGACTGCTAACCAGTTTTCCCAGCAGTTTTTGTTGAAGAGGCTGCTATTTCTCCATCGTATATTTTTAGCTCCTTTGTCAAAGATAAGTTGCTTATAGTTGTGTGGCTTCATATCTGGGTCCTCTATTCTGTTCCACTGGTCTTCATGTCTGTTTTTGTGCCAGTACCATGCTGTTTTTATTGTTATTGCTTTGTAATATAGTTTGAAGTCAGGTATTGTGATACCTCCTGCATTGTTCTTTTGACTGAGTATTGCCTTGGCTATTCGTGGCCTCTTGTGTTTCCATATAAATTTAACAGTAGATTTTTCAATCTCTTTAATGAATGTCATTGGAATTTTGATGGGAATTGCATTAAACATGTAGATTACTTTTGGGAGTATAGACATTTTTACTATGTTGATTCTACCAATCCATGAGCATGGGAGATCTCTCCACTTTCTATAGTCTTCCTCAATCTCTTTCTTCAGAAGTGTATAGTTTTCCTTGTAGAGGTCTTTCACATCTTTTGTTAGGTTTACACCTAGGTATTTGATTTTTTTTGAGGCTATTGTAAATGGAATTGTTTTCATACATTCTTTTTCCGTTTGCTCATTGTTAGTGTATAGAAATGCTAATGATTTTTCTATGTTGATTTTATATCCTGCTACCTTGCTATAGCTATTGATGATGTCTAGAAGCTTCTGAGTAGAGTTTTTTGGGTCTTTAAGGTATAGGATCATGTCGTCTGCAAATAGGGATATTTTGACAGTTTCTTTACCTATTTGTATTCCTTTTATTCCTTCTTCTTGCCTAATTGCTCTGGCTAGGAATTCCAGTACTATGTTGAATAGGAGTGGAGATAGTGGGCATCCTTGTCTGGTTCCTGATTTTAGAGGGAATGGTTTTAATTTTTCTCCGTTAAGTATAATGCTGGCTGTAGGTTTGTCATATATAGCTTTTATAATGTTGAGGAACTTTCCTTCTATTCCTAGTTTTCTTAGAGCTTTTATCATGAAATGATGTTGGATCTTATCAAAGGCTTTTTCTGCATCTATTGAGATGATCAAGTGGTTTTTGTCTTTGCTTCTGTTAATGTGGTTTATTACGTTTATTGATTTTCGTATGTTGAACCACCCCTGCATCCCTGGGATGAAGCCTACTTGGTCGTGGTGAATAATCTTTTTGATGTGTTGCTGAATTCGATTTGCCATTATTTTGTTGAGGATTTTTGCATCAATGTTCATTAAGGAGATTGGCCTATAGTTCTCCTTTTTGGAGGTGTCTTTGCCTGGTTTTGGGATAAGTGTAATAGTGGCTTCATAAAATGTGTTTGGCAGTTTTCCTTCCCTTTCTATTTCATGGAACAGTTTAAGGAGGGTTGGTATCAGTTCTTCTTTAAAGGTCTGATAGAATTCAGCAGAGAATCCATCAGGTCCTGGACTTTTCTTTTTGGGGAGACTCTTGATTGCTGCTTCAATTTCATTTTGTGTTATAGGTCTATTCAGGTGATTAATTTCCTCTTGGTTCAGTTTTGGATGATCATATGTATCTAGAAATCTGTCCATTTCTTTTAGATTTTCAAATTTATTTGCCTAATTCACTCTTAACCTCTGAACAAATTCAGTTCAAACATGACTGTATTTATATTTTGAAGAGATGTTAAGTAGGAGTTGTGTAATTGGAGAGAAACAGCAGAGTACTCCACAGAAATGAAACAGTTTGCATGTACACTCTACGTCTGTACGATGTCTATGATTATGTAAGAAAGATTCCTAAGCTGCCTCATTCTGCCACCCTCAGGATACAATGAATTACCTTGGGGTGGGGGCATGGCACTGGGGCTTGAACTCAGGGCTTCACACTTGCTAGGCAGGTGCTCTACCAGTTGAGCCACTCCACCATCCCATGAATTACTTTTTTGATGTTGAATGAAACATGTACAGTGTTCTCTTACTGCATTTTACATGTTAAGACTATTAGTATTCCTACTCCCGTTAATTAGTCCATTTTCTCTTTTTTAAAAAACATTGTTTTTATTGTTGCTGTTTTTGCAGTAGTAGGATAGAACTTAGGGGCAACTCACTTGCTAAGCAAGCGTTCTACCACTTGAACCACTCTCATAGTCCTAAGGAGTATTTGTATATTACCACAACAGCAGTATTTTCACCAAGAAAATTCAGACAGACAGGCACCAGTGGCTCACGCCTGCAATCCTAGCTACTCAGGAGGCAGAGATCAGGAAGATCATGGT